CGTCAGAAGTGAGCAGAGGGTGTTAGAGGCTGTTCTAATTAGATTTTAACCTGAAACGTGCGGATAGGGTAAGATGTGTACCTGTAGCGTCCTTGGCGGTTTGGGATTGGCTGGTAAGGTCGCACTGCCCTGGTTGGGTGGGTTGGTGGGCGTGGCAGGAGGAGATGTGAAGCTGGGTTGGTTAGATTGTTTATTGTGGCGGCCGTGCGCGTAAGCGAGCTGTTACGTAATCATTCCTAATTAGGACTAGCCCCCTTCTTCCTGGAAAGGAAGGCTAATCTGCTCGTCTCAGCCATGCTACCAGTGAATTGACTCATCAACTCTTTTAAAACGCCTACAAAATCTCCACCTCACAAGGCCATGGCTAGTGTAGGTCGGCTTTCCTCTCTGCAACATGCCCTTAGTTAATGTTTCCACGCTGACAGATTAGCTCTGGGCTACCGCTTCCGGAAGTACCCTTTTACAAACTACTATACCATAGCACATACAAATAGAAAAATCAGTTTACGTGCATCTACTCGTACTATTATGTTTATTTTAGCTAACTAATCTAGTAATTATTAGCCATGTAAGCGTAAGAGGCCAACGTCCACTTGTTCTGCCTCCCATACAGCTAGCGTCTTCGAGGAAGATATATAATGTGGATGGCTAACGCCGAGAATGTGACGACTTAACTGCACACACTGGTTCATAAGTTTAATGGCTTCTGCATTGCGACCCTGCCCTTTCCAGGTAAAAGCAAGATTGTTCATCCTGGTCGGTGTGTCTAGATGGCCCACTCCCAGCATCTTCTTACTGGTCTCCATCACTTGCAACTCTAGCTCTTCCGCTACATCCCACCGGCCTTGATTTTGGCAAGTCGATGCTAGATTGGCCATGCTGGTTAGCGTGGAAGGATGGTCCGCTCCCAGCTTCTGCTTGCGAGTCTCCATCACTTGCACAAGCAGCTCTTCCGCTGCATGCCACCGGCCTTGATTCCAGTAAGTCGACGCCAGATTGGCTACACTGGTCAGTGTGTCTGGATGGCCCGCTCCTAGCGTCTTCTTGCGAGTCTCTATTACTTGCACAAACAGTTCTTCCGCTGCATCCCACCGGCCTTGATTTCGGTAAGTCGACGCCAAATTGGCCATGCCGGTCAGCGTGTCTAGATGGCCGGCTCCCAGCTTGCGATGTCTTGATAGCTCTGCTCAAACCGTACTGCGTTGCTGGCGTGGGCCCAGAAGACCCACGTCTCTGGTGATCACTCTCTGGTTCGGTATGCCAATTCGATGACCAGTTGAGACTTACTTCGCAGCGGTCAGCTGTCCGCTGTGGTCTGCGCCCTTCGCACGTACCCAACGCCGCCTAGGCCGACAAGCGCGGTCCGCGAGCCCGGTGCAGCGCATTTCGTCTGAATTTGATCGAACAGCTCGCTTCTCTCGATGAAGTCGGCGTCACGACTGAAGGGTATAACTGCTAACGGCTTCAGCGGTGTTTCTGGTCGATCTAGGTGGGGCTACCGTTACCTAGCGTTCGTCCGGACCCTCAGACCCTCCCACGACTTACCAGGTGGAAGACGGAACTCGGCGTTGACAGGGCCGTTAATGATGCCGGCCTGGAAACCAGAGTTCGTGTCGCCAAAAGATATCACGGAGACCATAATGCTGTCGCAGCAGTGGAGCATGCATCGGCGGTGTCTGCGACGAAGCCACAGCTGGACTTCAGCCTGGCGGTCTTGGCCGGTTGCAAGGCTGAGGGGAAGCGCTGAAGGCTGAAAGCCAGTCGAGCATGAAACCGATCACTTGCAGGAGAGTGTTTGAGTTTTTGTGGCATGTTATTTTTGAGCATGATTCTGTGTATTGAGTTCTCTTCATATTTACGGGCCGAGTCTGAAAGCTGGCGAGTAGTTGTCCCGAGCTGGAAACATATTTACCTTCGAATCTAGTTTCTAGCGCCATAGCGAATTATTCAATTTGCTACAGGAAGCAGGTTGGTTAGTAACCAGGGCTTAAATAAAAGCGGAGAAGCATCCAGTATGTCAAATTTGTCCTCTAAAAACGTGACGGGGCCTGACGCACAGAGGGAGAGGAGAGCGGGGGAAAGAAGAGACTTATGACAACTGCGAGGATGGCTGAATTGAACGGAGTAGTTGGGAATATGTGGGAAGAAAGGCAGAAGTGAAAGAAACAAAGTCGGCCTTGAATCTTGGCATGGCTCATAACACTGCGAAGTGGCAACAAAAAAAAAATCCCCCTGACAGATCTGTGCGCTCATATGTATACTAAAATTGTGTAAGACATAAGGTGGGATGAAAACGCCCGGGCCTTTACGATTTTGGGAAGTACTTGGTATTGAACTCGTCGACGATCTCCCGTGCTGCTGTGACAATCTCTACTGCGCCTGGGGAGTCAGAATGACAACAAAGCGAAACAGGATAATCGCCGAGTGGTAGCTGAAGCTCTTCGCCAGTGACGGCAGTGACGGAAGCGTTATCGACCTGGGCTCGCACGTGCTTCTTTATATCGTCTAGATGCCATGGCCTAAGATATTAGTACACACGGTGAATCGACCGGATCTAGAAAACCCACTTCTTCTTCCGGTCGATAACCAGGGTCTTGTCTGCATTGTATTTCACATCACCGTATATCTCCGCCGTAAAAGGCAAACCTAACTCTTTGGCAACTTCCTCTTGTATCGTTCCCGCGAGTCCAAACACTCTTGTTCCCTTCGGCACGCCCTTATATACTGCTCTGCAGATATCCCTATCTCTGTACATCATGCCATAGAGTATTCCGTGTGGCTTAACGTGGTGCAGTAGCATCCCCTCGACGTCTAAGAATGCCTTGAGCGCCCCAACCTGGTACCGAACCGCAGCTGTTAATTCCTCGGGAGTCATTTTGATCTCGCGCCGTCCGAACCCTTGTATGTCCGGGAGACCAGGGTGTGCTCCGACAGCGATGCCGTGCTTCTTGCAGGCGAGGACGGTCTGCTGCATGATCAAAGGGTCGCTGGAGTTATTAGCCCTATCTTGAAGCATAAAGTTTACCGCAGCAGTTCAGTACATACCCAGCGTGGAACCCACAGGCGACATTGGCATGATCAATGAGGGGGATTAGCTCATCGTCCGGGCCACACTTGAAGTTGCCGTATCCTTCGCCCAGGTCGACATTAATTTTCACGGCATGCTTGATCGCTGGCATTGTGGACAATAACCCGGTAATCTCTCAATCAACGAAGCAAACATCCATCAGCCAAGGGCACTGCCACTATTATGGCATCCATGACGGCAGGCTCGTGTTCCTGTTATCAATCAACCCCTCCCGTCTCCCCACTTCTACCAATTCCTTGGGTGACATCTCAACCCGGCAACCCGACGCAAATAAATTGCCGGATGTGGTTTGACAGGCAGCTGATCGCGTCGGATGCTGCTCCCAAGCATACGGACGACAGGCGAATTCACGCTGCGGTGCCTGCTGGACCCGTCTGTCGTTGGATGAGATCAGGGGAGCCTTCGGAGGAGGGGTGGGCTGGCAGAGGGTTTAGATAGGCCAGCGGCTACCTCTTACATTGCGCAACGCGATGCGACCCTTTGAAGAGCGAACTGACGGAGTTTGTGCTGTCATAAGCTAGCATATTCGAAGGTTCCCTTGACTTTGACATGGAGAAGCTGAAAACGCTGCTCGTCGCGAACCGAGGCGAAATCGCGGTCTGTCTTGGCTGATCCCCTGTCAACACCACAGCTGACATCATCATCCCTCGTAGGTCCGCATATGCAAGACTGCAAAAAAGCTCAACATCAAGACCATTGCCATCTATTCAGACGCTGATGCTGCATCGCAACATGTCCGCGAGGCCGATGAAGCCGTTCTTCTAGCTAGCAGCAATGCCACAGCATACACTGACGAGCAGAGCATTATCGATATAGCCAAACAGACCAAGGCCGACGCCATCATCCCTGGTTATGGATTTCTTTCCGAGAACGCACACTTTGCGCGACTCGTTGGCGAAGCTGGCATCGCGTGGGTTGGCCCGTCACCCGAATCCATTGAGGAATTCGGCGTCAAGCATGTCGCGCGTGAATTGGCCGAGAAGGCTAATGTCCCCATTGTCCCTGGAACCAAAGGTCTAGTCGAAGATGAAGAAGCTGCAGCAAACGCCGCTGAGAGCATCGGCTTCCCGGTTATGCTCAAAACGACGGGCGGAGGCGGTGGCATGGGACTGGTCACGTGTAACAGCGCCAATGAGGTCCGCAATGGCTTTAAAATGGTTCGATCGCGCGGAAAGACGCTTTTCAAGAACCCGGGGGTCTTCGTTGAGCGTTTCTATCCTGCGAGCCATCATGTCGAGGTTCAAGTGTTCGGCAACGGCCAGGGCCAGGCCATCCATTTTGGCGAACGTGAATGCTCGATACAGAGGAGACACCAGAAGGTCATCGAGGAATGTCCAAGTCCTTTTGTGGAGAAACACCCAGAGTTACGAAAGAAATTGGGGGATGCTGCTGTCCACCTATCGGAGTCGATCAAGTATGGGTCTGCAGGAACCATTGAGTATCTCGTCGATGACAACACGGGTGACTTCTTCTTCCTCGAGATGAACACTCGACTTCAAGTCGAGCATGGAATTACCGAACTTTGCTACGGCGTCGACCTAGTGGAGCTTATGTTAAAGCAAGCGGATTCCCAGCTTGCTGGAAAAGGCGGGCTTGATGGAAATGTGCTGAAGGAAATGCAACCCTCAGGACCATCTGGTGTGGCTATCGAAGTTCGCATATACGCCGAAAACCCCCTAAAGGACTATGCACCCTCACCAGGCCTTCTTCAAAAGGTCGAGTGGAAGAACGTCTCTGGCAGTCGAATCGACACTTGGGTGTTCACCGGCTCACGCATCACACCAAATTATGGTCTGTGAACTCTTTATCTGGAAGTCTGGAAGCTGACTACATTTAGATCCTCTCATTGCGAAAGCCATGATCCATTCCAACTCCCGTGTGAAGGCAATTAGCAGCATGAAAGAATTACTTGACGAATCTTCAATATGTGGCCCACCTACTAATCTAGAGTTCCTTGCAGAGATCATGGATGACCCAACATTCAAATCAGGAAACACATTAACCAGCTTCCTTCAATCGTTCAAATACGTGCCTCATGCGATTGATGTCATCTCAGCAGGCGCCTACACCCTCATCCAGGACCTTCCCGCCAGACCGACGGTCGGCAAGGGAATACCTCACTCTGGGCCGATGGACCCCTTGGCCTTCCAAATCGCTAATATGTTGGTGGGAAATCCGCGCGGCAGGGAAGGTCTAGAGATCACTTTGAGTGGACCTGAGCTTCGCTTCGTTGGGCCAGCCATTGTTGCTTTGTGCGGAGCCCCGATGGAAGCCTCGCTGGATGATAAAGAGTTTCCCATGTGGGCCAAGGTCAAGGTAGAGGCAGGGCAAAAGCTGAAGATTGGAAAAACAACTGGCAATGGGTGCCGATCCTATCTTGCAGTGTTTGGTGGATTCCCCGAAGTCGCCGACTACTTCGGTTCCAAATCTACCTCTCCACTAGTCGCTATTGGGGGCTATCAAGGCCGATCGCTAGCTCCGGGAGACCTCCTTCGCACAGTAGCAAAACTCCCAGATTATGTCGGCATAGTATCCCTTCCAGAGAGATTACGACCAGTATACAATTCTCACTGGGAGATCAAGGCTATGGTCGGTCCTCACGATGAAGGATACCTTCTACCCGAAGACATTGAAATGATATACAGCACCGAATGGAAGATTTCTCACAATGCTTCTCGAAGTGGAATTCGTCTCGTCGGCCCTGTTCCGAAATGGGCGAGGAAGGATGGCGGCGAAGGCGGTGCTCATCCGAGCAACCTCATCGAATACGGATATCCTCTTGGAACCCTCAACTGGACCGGCGATGATCCCTGTATCTTCCCCATTGATGCGCCTAACTTCGGTGGCTTTGTTAGCAGTACCACTATCATCCGGGCAGAATGGTGGAAGCTTGGCCAGATTAAGGCAGGCAACACGTTGAAGTATGTCCGCGTCGGCTTGGAGGATGCACTGAAGAAGCGAAAGAAGCTGGACGGATTTCTAGACTCTGTTGAGCATGCGATTCAGTCTAGTGGAAGCTTCGACAATATCGACAAGCTGCAGGCATGTCACGTGGATTTCCATGAGGGTGACATAGGCAAGGCAGTCATCTGGGAGCAGGAGGGATATGGGCATATACCCCCGGTGAAGTATCGGCAGGTATGAAACATGCCCTTTCCACAACCCTCATCTAATACCCTCCAGGGCGGCGATGACCACCTCATCATCGAATATGGCAACGACACCTTCGATCTCAACCACCGCAGCCGCGTCACTGCCCTCGAAAACGCCCTAAACTCCCCCTCCACACCCACCCTCATCGCACAAAATCTCATCAACACAGTCGGCTGTTGCACAACCCTCCTCCTCTTCTACAACGGCGCTCTCCTCCCCCGCAGCACCCTCCTCTCCCACCTCCTCACCCTCGAAACCCAACTCGGCTCTCTCCGAACTGTTAAAGTCCCGACTCGCCTCTTCCACCTCCCCATAACCTTCGAATCCCAGGCCCAAACTAAAGCTACGCAACGATACATAACAAACCAAAGACCCCACGCTCCCTACCTTCCTGACAACCTCGCCTTCGTCGCCGCAAACAACGCATTCACACCAGGTCAGCTCAAAAACATTTACCTTACGGGGCAATTCATGGCGGTGGTAGTTGGGTTTTTCTGCGGAAACACAGTATCGCTTCCCGTAGACCCTCGCCAGCGAATGTCCTGTCCGAAAATGAACCCATCCCGCGTTTTCACTCCCGAAGGGACGGTAAGCTGGGGTGGAAGCTGCATGAGTATCTATCCTGTGGATTCCCCCGGTGGGTATCAGATGACAGGGCGCACGGTCCCGTGTTGGGATTACTATGGCTGGAAAAAGGGTTTTGAAGGGGGCAGGCCGTGGCTGTTTCGCGATTTTGATATATTGACGTACTACCAGGTCAGTGAATCAGAGATGGATAACCTCCTCCAAGAATTCCGAACTGGACGGTATGATTTTGAATATCAGGAAGTGGAGTTTGATATGGGGGCGCACAATAAGTTGCTTGAGGATACGACGGAGGAGGTGAAGGAGATTAGGGAAAAGCAGAATCATGCACAGGAGGAGATGATGGAGAAGGAGAGGGAGAGTTTGGAGAGATGGAGGAGGGAGAAGGCGGAGAACCAGGTCGATGAGTCGACGGTGGAAAAGCTGTTGCTGGATCCGAAGATTTTGTCGGTAGAGGCCCCGGTGGATGCGAATGTTTGGAAGGTGGAGGTCAAAGAGAGCGATGAGGTTACGGAGGGTTTGGTGGTGAGTTGTTTTTGCTTTAGTTTAGATGTTAGAATCGGATTGGATGGCATAGAGCATTTGGGTATTTGCTGACGCAGACGCAGATCGTTATCCTCGAAGCTATGAAACTTGAAATCGCGGTAAGGACTCCAGATGCGGTCGTGGCGCAATTGAAGAAGGGGAAGGTGGTAGTGGAGAAGATGTTGGTGAAGCCGGGGGATACGGTGCAGGCGGGTGGACATATTGGGTTGCTGCGGGTGGAATGATTTGCGTTTTGTGTATGTTAGCAAGTACTTAAGCTAGCGTATTCATTCCTTCATTTTAGTTAACTAGGATGTTGTTATCCGCTCATGTCTCATGTTTAGATCTTTGCATAATCGTTATTTTGCCAAGTCGTCGTTTGCATATTTGATATCCACACTCGTCTCAAACATCAAGATTGAAGTTATCCTATGCTACAACTTCGCGCCCCTCTCGCTTCCTAACTTCTCCTCAATCGGCCGTAACATCGCCCTCATCATCTCCTCCGCATTCAACTCCTGCCCAGTCCCCTCTCCAGCAGGCGGCGCAATATTCCACTCGGGCAAAACCCTCGTCCCCGTCAAGCTCAACTCCAACATAGTCCCACACGGATACTCTTTCTTCTGCAGCAACTCTAACATGTGCTTCGCCACATCGTCCGGCGTCAGGGCCTTGGCCTCCGCAAACGAGAATTGCGAGATCTTGGATGGTGTGAATAAGGGGGTGTTGACGGCACCGGGACAGATGGTAGTTATTTTGACACCGGTTAGGGGTTCGGTGGAAGAGAGCGATTTTACGAAGCCGATGATGGCGTGCTTAGTTGCGCAGTAGAGGGGCGCAGCAACTGAGCCGGCTATGCCGCCTATGGACGCCTATGGCGCATGTCAACATGTGCGGGATCTATCCATCTCAGGGGTTTTATCATCTCGCATCATGTGATCCTAGTCAAGGAATCCCTAGGTAGATGGTCTTAACTTACAATAATGCAAACGCTCGCCCTCTTTCCCCTCTCCAAACTCTTCCTCATGGCCATCCTCGTCAACTTCACTGGATGATCCACATTGACCCTTACCTGCATATACCCCTTTTCCCCATCCCCTTCCTCTCTATCATCCCAGAAATTCGAAAATGGCGGTTCAAACAGTCCTGCACAGATACCATATGCGTCGGGAACATCATTCCACTTTTCCTCGCACGCGGCGAAGATTTTGTCGAACGACGACCATTTGGAGACATCAGATTGGATGAAGAGGATGTTAGGTTTGGAGGCTGCGAAGGCGGTGAAAAGTGGTGTGGGGCGGAGGTCAGCGACGAGGACACGAGCTCCCAGGGCGTGGGATTGTTGGGTTAGTGCAAGGCCGATGCCTAAGAGTTAGGGTATTAGTAAGTATACTGGGGCCATGGAGTTGTTTTTTTGTTGTATGGAATGATAGAGAGATAGAAATGATGGGTGAGGTGCAGGTGCAGGTGCTTACCCGATGCGCCTCCGGTGATGAGGATGATTTTGTCCTTGAGTGGGATATCAATAGACATATCGAATGCTCAATTACCCACCAATACTCTAATGGGCTTAGGAAAACTAATTATGGGATTGACAGCGGATTTGTTTATTTAGCTGTAGTTAAAGTCCATGCAATGATGTTGGAGCTCAGTTATACAGAATCGATCGGGTAAGGAATCCCGGCGCCTTGGTTGGCTGCGCTGAATGAGGGGCATGTGGGATGAACACCCGAGAAGCGTTTGCGGGGCGAGGAACGCTTGTCGACGGTGCTGTGAGTAACCGGATTCTGGGGAAGATCCGCATGGAGAGATGCATGGAGACATCTGGTCGGAGGCTGTTGGAAATAATGTTGACAAAGGGATGGATGGATGGAGATCTAGACTGAGATGAGACTGAAGCAATGAGTAAAAGTAGTCGACTGCATCACCTTCCTAGTAAAGACGCTGCCGAATAATGAACTGTGTAAATGAAGCGACGTCGAGGCTGTAATGATCCAAATACAGAAGACACAACGTTCAAACCCCAGCGCCAAGCCCACTCCATTTCACCCCTCCATAGCCTCTCAAAACTCCCTCTCATGCTCCCTCATAATGTCCCCACCCTCGATGACCACCCTCTCAACCCCAATGGTCACCTGGATACTCTCCATATCAATCAAATTCTTCTCATCCGGCTGAATAACTTCCAAATAATATGGATCTAAAAAAGCCGCTTCGAAATCCTCGTACTTCTTGACCCAGAAGTCGCCCATGCCGTCGAAAGCGAGGGGACTTCGTCCCGTGGCTGAGAACATCTTTGCGCCGAGGGATTTGTAAGAAGAGGTGGTGTGGTACTGGGGGGTGTTAGGATAGTGGAAATGGAAGGTGGTGTGTAGTGAAAGGGAACGAGAAGGGAGAGGATTCTGACTTGAACGTATTTTATGATACCGTTACGTTGAAGCCATTCTGTGGCTAGTGGGCCGTGCTTGTAGGCCCAGTATTTACTGAACTCATCTTCGGTTGTGCCGGGTTTGCGATTTACGCAGACGGTCACGCGGATTAGGGATTCGGTGCTCATTTTGGGCGTTGGTGAGAATGACAGACTGTATGAGGCAACTGGAGGGGATTTGGTGGGATAGTTGGTAGATTTGAGGCCTTGGGGATGGCAGCCGGCATGCAAAAGTGCTCATATATAAAGGAGGGACACCTCCTACGCCACTCCCTTGAATCGGCATCGCGGAAGAAGGTCCGCTCTGATGAACAGGCAAGCATAGGATCAAGAGCGGATATCGGAATCGGGGCTAGGTCTTTCACCAAGGCTAACGCATTTCCAAGAAGACTTCCTGAGTGTGGTGCAGGTAACCCAACTCAATTAGCATTGTGGCTATGTAGGTCCGCTTTTACTCAACCTGGTTAGGAATATGAATGAATCAAGGTCGATTGTACGTGAAAAGTGAAAAACTCTGGGCGATGACATATTACAAAGCTTAAAATATGTCTGACTGAATGATATTTAAGTGATCTAGCAGTACCAGCCGCCGTCGATGGGCATTGCGTTACCAGTTATGAACGATGAGTTATCGGAAATGAGAAACTCGATGAGTGGTGGTACTTCCGCCTGGTTAGCTGCTCGGTTCAAAGCAAGAAAGCTCAAATCCATCTTTGTGCCTCGAATCTCTGCAGACTTCCTGAACATGGGCGTGTCGATGGGACCGCTGCAAGAAGTGAGATAGCGTCTTCTGTGCGGGCTCGATAACACTTACGGGCAGAAGCAGTTGCATCTTATGTTCCTCTCCCCCAGTTCCTTCGCCGCTGCTCTCGTCATACCGACCACTGCGTGCTTCGATGCAACGTAGGCGACGCTCTTCTTTGAGCCCATAAGACCTAGGATGCTGGCAGCATTCACAATGGAGCCACCGTTGTTGAAGTGTGGAATCTCAGCGCGCATACAATTTAAGAGACCCTTGCAATTCACGCCCATGATGAATTCCCAGTCCTCATCATCGACTTCCTCTATCCTAGCGATATTGTTCTGTTTTCCGATAACGCCTGCGAGGTTTGCTGCGCCATCGAGTTTGCCAAATTTGGACACGGTGGCTGCAATCCAGTCCTCCACCTGTTTCTTATCGCTGACATCTACGACAGTTGCGAGGACCTGGGCTCCAGACTCCCGTAACTCGGCTTCAAGCTCCTTGAGGGGCTTCTCTTGGACGTCTGCAATAGACAGTTTCGCGCCTTTGCTAGAGAAGAGTTTAGCGGTTTCGAGGCCCATACCGGAGGCAGCGCCAGTGATGACAATGACCTTGTCCTTTATTGACATAGTGTTTGGATATATAAATGAGATGAGCTTGAGAAGGCTTTGAGGAAAATAAAGGGATTGAGATGAAAATGACAGCGGCTAGAAGTGCCTGCCCGCCTTTCTTTTTATGGGTCGTCCTTCGCTATGAAGGGCCTCGCGAGGCATTCCAATGGCGTTTCATGAAGCATACCGAACAACTACAGCTTCTTCAGGATCGGAAGTGCTACCGAGACTCCGTGGCTAGAGCTGTGGGTGTGGAACTGAGGAGTGTGAGGAGCAGAGGAAGAGCTTCTCCGAAAGCGGTCGGCGCTCTGAAGCCCCGATCTGATCGGAGCTCCGCAGCTCTCATACTCACGGAAGACCATGATCCTTTGACTCTCTCCGACTTTGGCTCTGCCTGCCATGCTTCCCTCAGCTCTAGGTTACGTTGCTATCCGTTCCCTTACTCTAACGATGGCTATGCATGGCCCCAATCCCTTAAATGGGGATCCGTCGACGACCCCTCCTCAGCATAGCACATCATGTCTTTCCTCGCGACCCTTCCTGCCAAGCTAGTCAATGGTAATAGCAGCGATGCCACAAATGACGAAACTCTTATTAATGGCCACAAACGCCCAGTCCGAATCGCGGGTGCCTCAGGTGGCTTCTCGGATCGCCAGCGCGCCATCAGCTCGCTTGCAAAACTCGACGTCGACGTAATAGTTGGCGATTGGCTCTCTGAATGCACAATGACACTGCACGGGGCTCAAAAGGTGGATAATGAGAAACTTCGCGCCCAAGGCAAGCTGATGGAGGAACCTGTCGGTCTTTTCGATCCAACCTTCATTGAAAACTTATCCCCTGCTTTGGCAGACATCGCGCGCAAAGGAATTAAGGTCGCTGTAAATGCAGGAGCATGCGATACAGAACTCCTTGCGCGGACTGTAGAGAAAGAAGTGAAGAGACAGGGCTTAGATCTCAAAGTTGCTTATGTGGAAGGAGACGAGGTTACGGATACGGTCAACAGGTTGATCAAGCAGGGCGAGAAGTTCACGAGTCTTATGACTGGGGAGGACTTGAAAGACTGGGGATACACTCCCATATACTCGCAATGCTACCTTGGTGGAGCTGGGATTGCTGAAGCCCTCAAGAATGGGGCTGACATTGTTGTATGCGGTCGTGTCGCAGATGCAGCACCCGCTGTTGGAGGTGAGTCTCGGATGATCAAACCCAGGTTTCTGAAGCTGATCCATTGTAGCTGGCATGTGGTGGCACGACTGGAATCGAGACAAGGACTTTGATCAGATTGCGGGGAGCCTGATTTGCGGCCATCTCATTGAATGTGCGGCGTATGTGTGTGGCGGCTACTTTTCTGGTTTCAAGAGGCTCATGGATGGTTGCACCAACCTTGGATTCCCCATTTCCGAGCTCTATGCGGATGGAAGTTGCGCCATCGAGAAGGAACCTGGTACTGGCGGCGAAGTATGTGAAACCAAACATCTCTATAGTCATTGACACTTACGACGATATAGGTTTCTGTCGGCACTGTCGCCTCTCAACTACTCTACGAAATTCAGGGGCCTCTCTATTTTGGCTCGGACGTCACGGCGAATATCGAAGGTGTCGTTATGACCGAGGAGGGAAAAGACCGCGTCCGCGTCACCGGTGTGAAAGGTCTCCCACCACCCACAACTACCAAAGTCGGCATGACGGCAGTAGGCGGCTACCAAGCCGAGTTCCACGTCTACATCTGTGGGATAGATCTGGAGGCTAAGGCTGAATGGATCGAGAAGCAGATTCGATATTCCGCTGGAGATGCGGTGAAAGAGCTCTCTTGCTTCAAATTTAGCCTGAATGGATACTGCCCGGACAACCCAAGGAATCAAGACGTTGCTACATGCGATCTGCGCATCTTTGTGCAAACCAAGAACAAGAAATTAGTTGATAAGTCGACACTCGATGTTCCTGGCTTCAATCGATGGTGCATGGACAACGGTCTCCAAGGGTGCCCTGGGTGGACGCTGGGCAACGACCAGCGTCAATCCGAAGGGAAGATTTACTACGAGTACTACGTTGCTTTGCTTGCTCAGTCAGAAGTTCAGCATCGTGTTGTCCTCCCTTGGCTCAATAGCAAGACACTTGACGTGCGTCCGCCAGCCAGGATGAAGGAATATCCTCGCGACCAGCCTAGCTATGAGACGACAGATCCAGTTGATCTGAAGCAGTACGGACCTACGACTCGAGGACCAATGGGCTGGGTCGTAGGAGGCCGGTCCGGTGACAAGGCTTCAGATGCTAATGTCGGCTTCTATGTTCGCCATGACGATGAATGGGACTGGCTTCGTTCCTTACTTACAATACCGAAGATCCAGTATCTACTTGATGAGGAATACAAGGGCGGCAAGATTGAGCGCTTTGAGATTCCTGGCATTCGAGCTGTTCATTTCTTGCTGAGAGACCACCTTGACCGTGGCTTCAATTCGACCAGTACCTACGATACACTAGGGAAGAATGTGGGCGAATATTTGCGGAGCAAGTGGGTGGATATTCCGAACAAATTCCTCTCCCGAGGTCGATTTTGAGTGATTTTCATAGCGGGGTGAAATTGATATTCATTCAAATGACGTTTTCCACCTTCTCGACGCGTTTGCTTGGTATTCCCATTCCAGAAGACTTGCACTCAGGGTCTGCTCCAACACCGCTTAACCTTTTCCCCCCTGAATCTGGGGCCCCGCCTTCCTGAGCTTTAGCTTCGTCGATCATTCCTCGCGCTAAGGAACGCGATTTCGAACCCCATTCTTTTTCAGATGTCAACTGCCTCTTCATAATCCGTTGCATTTCCTCAGACCCTGCATAACGACATTCATAATGAGTTCCTCGGTAGATACAGAATTCTCGGCCAGACGGCGAAGGCGCGCCTCAATGGCCTGCCTTTCATGCCGAAAGAGCCGCATCCGGGTAAGTGTCACGTCGTCATGTGCAAAAGCATTGCTAACGGTGGACAGTGCAAGGTTGAGTCAGGACAGAAGGCATGTAGTCAGTGCCAGCAAACGGAGACGGAGTGCACTTTTGATGCAAGGGATGGTCGCAAGAAGTGAGCATTCACCAACTCCTAAATTCATCAACAATTTCGGTTAGCTCACACGTGCTCAGTCGTGCGAACTCGAAGGCGGTAGCGAACGAACTCAGCAAGCGGATTCAGCACCTCGAAAGCTTGCTCAAGGAAACTGGACATGGACATGCCATTCCAGACGCCCCGACTCCATTGGAGCATCTGCATGATCAGCACCCACATCCCATGGAAACCGATTCAGAGTCCCAGTCTACACCCTGCTACGATGACGAACCCCCTCCCTACCCCGAAGCGCCACAATCTACACGTGGATCACAGCCTCATGATGCTTCAGCGCACAGTAAGGCCATCATTGGGAAGCTTGCCCCTCGACCCGTCAAGTTTGACATGGCTTCTGGCCGTGTTCGATTCTTCGGTCCAACAACAAACATGCACATTCTCTCACGGTCAACATCAGATCCTAGCAAAAACTCCGAAAGCTTCTGGCCAATCTCCACACTTGTCAGGGATCTCTCGCCCGAGACCCATGACTATATCATCGATCTTTTCTTCGATCATCACAACTCGGCTTTGCACATCGTCCACAAATGGGCATTTCTCGATGATTTGAAGGAGGGTGGGACCCAATTCTATTCGAATTTCTTGCACATGTGCATGTTGGCTGAGGGATATCGGTACGCGGACAAGTCGAGAGCAGATCTCAAAAAGCTTGCTTGTCCGGGTCCAGATTCTTCAACGTTCCATACCAAGGCTAAAAAGATGGCCGAACTTGAGCTGGTGAAGCCTGGAGGTGTGCCGTCAATCCAAGCCTTCTTTCTTCTTGGAGATTTAGAGGTTGGGATTGGGCGTGATGACACTGGGTGGATGTATGCAGGAATGGCTTTCCGGCTGCTGTTCGACGTCGGCCTTCATGTGGACCCGAGCGAGATACATCTGACTGAACGAGAAGTGCAGATCCGCCATATGGTATTGTGGGCATGCATTTTGAACGATGTGTAAGTCCAGCTATTCGTGTATCAGATCATTCGCTTACTCCAGCAGGTATTGGTCTCTCTACCTCGGTCGCCCTACCATGTTAAAAGCTTCAGACATGGCTCCAGCATGCTTAAATAAGGACTTTGATCGCCTCATCGAAAGCCAAACCCGGACTTATGCATACGAGAAGACGATCGAGACACGCGTTTACGAGGCGCTACTGCAGCTGATGGATCTGCTCGAGCCATTGTGCGAGACAAGAGACCTTAGGAAGAATCTAAAGCCAGCGGATGCGTACTTAAAGATTGCGACTCTCGACAGGCGGCTGAATAATTGGTATGCTGATCTCCCCGACCGCCTCCGCTGGATACCCGACAATATTCGAACTGCACCGGCTTCCTTTTTTGTTCTTCAGTGAGTACCACATCATTCCTCCCAAACTTTACGAGACTAATTCGATGGCCTCACAGCACACAATACCACACCGCGCTTATACTCCTCCACCGCACATTCCCAACTCAACCCCCACAAACGCAAACGGCCCGACACTCCGGCTCAACTCACTTCTCCACACTCTCCCGCACTGTATGCGTCTCCAACGCCGAACAAGTTGCAGAAATCATCTCGCAATACCGTAAACGGTTTGATATCAGGAGGATCTTCGTCACCGGCCTCCAACACGTCGGAACTTCCGCAACAGCCCTGATGGCCGAAGTCAGCATGCTGCAGAACGATCAAGACAGCGGGGAGCGTAGCCGGCTATTAGAACACTTGCACGACCTACGAAACGCAATGCGTGAAATGAGTGAAATGTATCAGCCGGCGGTTTTAATGGCTACCGTCGTGGGCCACTTCATCCGTGACTCTGGAGACATGCGTCAGGAAGACGCGATGAATGTTGGCACACAAACTAACATCCCGCTTGGCTCCTCCTCCTCCTCAACTACCACTTCCATATCAACCTCCAAACACCCTAGCATCCTCACCGCCCCAAACTCATCCCGCGCCACCCGCGCCAGCACCCTCGCTCCCCCTGACTCCACTCAACCCTCTAGCTCCTTTGCATCTTCCTCCAGCCAACTCTACACTCGTGGTACCGTAACCCCCATCAACGGCCCTAGCTATTATTTCCAAAATAGTGGGAATGATAGCAGCTTCGATGGAAGAGGAGGTTTGCCGTTTTTGCCAAGTAGTTGGTTCGAGGAAATGAATTGGGAAGAGGATACGGAATTTTTGAATTTGATGGGTTTGAAGGATTTGCAGGCAGTGGCGGGCGCCGGCGGGATAGTATTGATGGATGCCTTCGAGGGATTGGAGGCGGGGGGTTTGTATGATGGGTGAGATGAGGGAGGGGGAAAGAAAGAGAGAGGTGAGCTAGAAGTTGGTTTGATACCCTGGGTAATGTGTACACGCTTTATAATTCGCGGAACTCGTGATGTGTTGCATGAATTATTGTCTTCCGCCGTCTAAGTGATGTCGATGCCTTGATTCGATGGTGGTTGGTGGTGTTTGGAATTCTTTCGACTGCTGCTTCATATTCATACTCCCACACGCCGTCAGCGTAGAAGGGTTTCATCTTAAATTGGACCATTGGCATTTTGCTCTATCATTTCAGTCAGCCATTCTTTTGGATTAACGGCGTGGCCGTTCCCGTCCCTTGCATCTCTCAATATCAACGAAATGGAATGGGGCAGCATGATTCCAAAGGATATCTGTTGCCTCATCTCCAGCCTTGGAGCTATCGCTTCTTGATGGTCCCAATATGGCATACAGGCGGCATTTAGTGCGGCCTAAGCGGCGAACTTATTGCAGAGTTTCATCGATCGATACCACAGCCGGTGACATAGAGCTGGGATCGACTACTTCTTTAACTGCTATAAGGGTCGTGCCTCTCGACGACGATAGCAACTCCCTTTTGCATAGACACGAGCCGGCGTAAGATGCAAGCCGATGGAACGAAATTTCCAGTTCAAAACATAAACCTCATGCTAGTGAGGAGCCTGCAAAACCGCATTGTAGAAGGTGGAGAATCGCTCGTATGCTTTAACGATGAGCTAAGGAGGTACGAAAGGCGTTGTGGGTGGATTTAAGGCCCAGAAGTCCATTTCAAGAATTTGATATGTGGCATCAACATTATGCTTGATCTCCTCTCTGCCATTAGAGCCACTCAGCCAGTGCCTGTACGCAGTGTTAAGATCTTTAGAAATCTACATGTCCTGGAATGTTAGTTACAGATTGTTCGTGTACTCGAAACCACAAGCTGCTTTCAGCTTGTTGATCATGCTCGTCTCGGCGTTGTTAGATGCGGATGTGATTTGCATCAGACCCTTGGCCAACATAGACGAGTAGAACTACTGGAAGACTTTCTTGTCATCAATAGACTTGAAGACTGTCATTATCCGTGTGAGAGAATTTTTCATATCGCCGTCCTCGGTAATATTGGTGCCCAGCTTCTTCAGCAAGGTGTCAGTGTGCTTGGCGAGAAGTTCGGGTGACTGGTAGGAGTGGGAGGCACCTGCTTGGGTAGATCTAGTGAGTGAATGTTAATGTGGCAATGGGAAGACCTAGGCGGTTTTTGGGGTACCTGCATGCAAATTTTAAGAAGGCGGGGAGCATGAGAGACCGGGTTAAATAGTCTACAGCGACAACCCAAGGCGGCTGCGAATGATGTAGGCCTTTGGGGAAGCGTTGCTGGCGCTGTTAGTGGATCACGGGGCTCCGTCTATGCCTTGGTAATGCTTGCAATTCGGACTGACAAACTGAAAAAAGAGTCCTATGAAGAAAAAGATAAAGAAAAAGATTTGGAAATATTATAATTTAAAGCTAAATTGATGGATGGAAGTAAATAAATAAATGTTGGTTCATCTAAGGTCCAGTGCGCGTTTGTGTCGGCGCAGAAGACAACACATGTTTTTACAAGCAATCAGAGAAAAAGTATATCTACACGCCCGACTTACGGCGTCGCCCACTTACGAGCCTCCGGATACAGCAGCAGTAATCATCATGATCTGTACCGTCCTCCTACGATCAACTTCTTTCTTCAACATCAGCAAGCAAGTGGCAACAACGACATCCTCACTCAACCCCTCCTTCCCTCCAACATCTTCACCAAGCACTAACTCTCCTCCATTGCCCGCACTACAGCTCTTACTGCCCTCAGTCCTCGTCTGACTGTTCCTAATTAACGCCGCAAGTCTCTTCCCACCCATACTCAACACAAGCGCTGTTCCCTTCTTCCCCTCGTCGCCAAACCCCTTCGCACGTTTGTACTCCCATTCAAAACTCCTCCCATCAGGCATGATGAATTTCTGACTCCTGGACGTCCATTTCGATGCCGTTTTAATCTCCGCATCTTCTCCAAGAAGATGTAACACAGGATCCCGGCCCGGGCCGAAGAAATACGTCGTTGCAATACTCTGCTTCTCGTCCGCATTGCTCAAAACGCAGTTCCCTGAGTTGCGTTGCGCGCGTGTAGATAGATATGCAAGGCTACCATCGGCATTGTGGATGCTGATTTGGAGTTCTTTTAGGGGAAGGGGAAGGCGAAGGACTGGGGTCCCTTTGGTATTTATATGGAGTGATTTCGCGGGTTGGAAGGCGGTATCAGGGGAGAGGGTTGTGCCACTAGTGATGGAGACAGAGTCTGAGGATATCAGCTCTTGTTTCTCCTTGTCGGAGAGCGTTTTGATGTCGACAGGCGGCTTCTCGAGATGGTTTGCGGTGAGGGTTGTAGTGCTCATCGTTGCGGTTGCTCGAAGTTAATGTGGGTTGGACTGTGCTGTGTGTGCTGCGCTATGTAAGTTAATCCTGTAAGTGACCATCTCGAATCATCCAGCATCAAAGACACCTTTATACAAGCCATTGTGACGGCAAAGCTGAGCTGTAAAGGGATGATACCGGTGTGCGCGTGCGATGCGACGACTTGCAAGGCGTTCATGAGGTTGACTTTTGAGGCTTGGTGGGCGGGCATGACGCTTGATCGACACCTTGGCTCGTATTTCGCATTCGATCGTATCGTTTCGCATGTGGCCATTGGATGGGCCAGGGCGTTTTGAAAGCCGGTTTACCGACGTCATTGGCATCTTTGAGTTGCTATCAGTGGTGGCAGTGCACAAACTATTTGTTTTGAGTAGTTACCACACAACTCTTTAGTTATTGCGCTATCAGAACGATGCCATTAGCGGTGCTTCTAAGATGACCTTGAATCTCCAGTCGGCGAATTCGAAGGGCTTGTTATAGCAATGAATCGCAAGTCCCACATCTAAGTTTTGGCCCAAATAGCATCGAAGTGTTAGAAGCACTCTATGGAGAATCTCAGAATTCATTTCGTGTTGGGCCCAAGATCAGCACTTCTGCCTTCCCTCTGCTTCTCTTTCACTCAGTTTAGCTCTTCGTCATCCGAAACACACATCGGAGTGGGAGACTCGAGACGCGGTGAAAAGTCATGCCGCGTGCCCATGCAATTCATTCTGAGCGTTTCATCTTGGATGCCTTGCTCGGCCTCAGAGTTCTTCCATGTCTGCCGCCCAAATCGACCACACGCCTGTCCACCCCAGGGAGACTAACGCCAGACGTGTGGCTTGCATTGCATTGTACTATTGTTCATGGAAGCACTGTTGGTTTTGGGTACCTGTCTGTAAGAGTAATTATCATAGAACTAGTTTTATAAGCTTTCTTCAGCCTCCTTTGAGACTACAACAAGGGTGTTTGGGCAATGGGACTTGTTAGATTCTGTACTGACTGAGATGGCGTGCTGCGGGATTAGGAAATGTACTACCGTGTGATACAAGATCTCGCGCTAAGTAAACTTTAGACAGGCAAGCTGAGGTTCTCGAAGGCTCTAAGTAGTCTAACTCCATACCTCGCCATATCTGCGGCTAATCTCTTAGAAATACGTTGAATCAAAGTTTTAGGTTGTACCTGGCAGACGCTCATTTCACTAGTAACTATGTTTTTGTGAGCATGATGTTAGGTGATTAAATATACAACATATTTGCACCTACTACGGAGCATTAACATGTTGGATTTGATTAGTCAAACCTGCTACTGGAATCAGGAACAGCATTAACAGGATCCAAATCGTAATTCATCACAGACAAGCAATGTCAAATCTAATCGAGCATTAAGCTTATCTATCTAAACAAACCCTAGATCCTCTGTTGCCTAAGGAGCGAATGTCTCAACTATGTTTCAGTCGCATCCATCGTTCCAGAAAATTCCCCGAGGGGCTAGTGCAGATTTCCATACTGATCCTTTTCACTTTCCTACTCTGGAAGCCACATCTCGTCCCTTGATTGCAAAGTGTGGCTTGCAACCCGCTGAACTATATCCTTGTTTTTTGGCGAATCCGCGTCGCAAATCGGCAACGTCTAGATCAAATGAGAGCTAAGCCCAACCGAATTACGCAGAGATACACCACCGCCCATTTCCAATTCGTCATTGGGAGCAACATCACGCGTGAAGATGCTCCTTGAAATACGGTAGGATTTGTAGAGGAGTTGCCTCCATTTCCGGTTACGGCCTCGGAGTTCATGAGCATGACAGAGATTTCGGCAGCCATGGTGTCGTGAATAGGTGGAGTGGGATGCAGGGAGTCGAGCCAGAAGTATTCATTTTGCGGAATTTGGCAGGTTGCGTTGAATGTGGATTCGTTGTAGGTGCGGCTGTGGAGATGTTAGTAGAAGCGTTGATTAGCGTTGATGAAGATCTCCTTTCCAAGCAGGCCAAATAGAAAGTGAGGGTTGTGAGGGGTAAAAAATGAAAAGTAGACAAACCGTGAATAAGAGAAACAAAACCCCGTCGTATTTTTAAGTCCCTCTGTCTCCGGCTTCACATCCGGTTTATCCAAGACCTGATTAAACAGGGTAAAAGTATCGTAAAAGAACGCTGTGACATCTGTATGCTGCTGCACAAGCCGCTGCACCATATTCATGATCCTCATATTAAAGTCTGCAATGGCTACTCTTTCCATCTCGACAAATTGCGCTGACATGCTGCCTTGGTTCATCGTAAGCGGACTCCGATGGACTGCCGGGACGCTGAGAAACAAGAAGTTACGTGCACCAGCAGCATAGAGCTCGTTGACGAGACTATTGTAAGATGCAATAATGGCGCTGTGGATCGTACTGTTGCCCGTTTGGTATGTTCCGGTGACATCATTGATGCCGAAGAAGGATGCGAAAAGCGTGTTGTCGGACTTCCAAGTCGCTTTGCTGGTGTTGTTTTGCGCATAATTAGGCAGGAAGAATTCGTGAACTTGTTGTTTCATGGGCCGAAACCGGTTTGGTGTAATAGAGCCGTCGACGACAGCACCAGGGAAGGCGAAATTGTAGGTTGAGACGACGGAGGCATTGTAGGTGAGAGAGAGGAAGTCGACCCAGTTCCGACCGTTGGAGAATGTTAGACCCCTGGAATTGTCAGCTTTGACCGATATATGAAAGAAAAAGGCTCAGAGCATGTAGGGTTCCATACGGAAAGGCAGGGTTCCCCAAAGGGTTAGCGGTGTTGGGCTGCGTGCCATTGATGTTGAACCCTGTTGCTGTGTATGAATCGCCGAAGATGAAGAGGTTAGATATTTTATCGAACCCAAGCCAGTTTGCGGATTGTGAATCCTGCGCTTGGATTTGGGGTAAAATAGAGAGAGAAATGAAAAGACATGTTCGAAGGGCGAACATTTTGTTGACTTCAAGTCGAGAACCGCAGGATTGGATATTTAAAGTTATCAAAAATCTAAGAATTGGGGTGGTATACCTGCCCAGGTGAGCCTAGCATGCTCGTTGACGGGTCAGGGAAATGCGATGGTCTGAATAAGTGGAATTTGGAGACTGGAGAAGCCTTATACCTGAGGTCACAGAGACACTCGCCAATTTGGAATGGTTACCAAGTGCTTGAAGAGCTCGGTTTTGCATCGAAATTCTTGAGGCAAGAGCCTTAGGTTCTTTGTAACTCTCAAGATCCCGCGGCTTTGGTGATGGCATCGAAGACATGGGGATGAAACATCGTCAAGCGGGTTGGGCTGCAGCCGCCACAATGCTTCGCCAAAGTGATCGCCGGATTTGCTGATCGATTTTCCAGCATATGCTGAAGAGTTTCGTGGGATTCATCCGGCAGCATTGAGCTTGCTTCGTCTTGTAAAGTTAATGCAAAGAAGCCTGAAAGTTCCAAATCGAGGTCGAAGACGGCTTGAGGGGCGCAATGGCTTCTAGAAAAAGACGCCGAACGCTCGATAGAAGGTATGCAGGACATCTGATCGAAATGGTAGGTGCACCTACCGAGGTATTAAGATGTTAATGGTCGGATGAAGGTCAAGGACTGGAAACCTTAGCCTTGAGCCCACCTTTTCGATCTGCAACCTACCACGTGATAGAACACTGCGCCTGGGCATCTTGTCACTTGACATTGGACGTGAAAGGAGTGATTGAGGACGGAGATTGGGATCGATCAAATGCTCTCCTTCATTCTAGCAGGGGGTTTAACAGATCATCTCTTTCCTGGTTATATTCCCCTCCTGGTAACAATGTGCTGTACCTTTTGTTACTGCTGTGAAACATTTTTGAAAACCCTCTCAACTCTTTTAATATTTATGATATTCTTCGAAATTATAAAAGTACATTCCTTCATAAATATACAGATTAATCAGAGCAAAAGCGCGAATCATCACGTGGATAAGCGGCTGAGTCAGCGACCTCACATTGCGTCTCAGTTCGGTATTTTTTCCAGCAACCTTCAGCAACCTGCAACTCTCAAAAACACACACCCATTCCGCTAAACAGCGCTGTATTGTAACGCAATCTCATAGGGATGACCCAAAAGTTCATTCTACTGGCAGTAGCGGTGCGGAAAACACATTCCTGACCTTGCTCATGGAGAGGTCGCTACTTCAAGTCCTTCAAATCGGCCCTTCATGAACATACACTCCTTCCAATTGACCAACCCGCTCTCGAAATGCTCCTGGCCAACTTAAATCCTCGGAGACTGAGGCAGCTGTAACCTGGGCAGCTGTTCCAGTTAGGCGTTTTCTCTTACACACCTCGCACACAAGTATCTGTGACAGCTCCTGTTTCACCAAAGATTCCATCATCATATCCCCAAGATAGGCTAGCGCAGAGGTACGCACTTACTACTTTAGGAAATGTCAGATCGAATAATCTCTGTACCAAATGGGTGTCACTATTCATCCTACGGACCTTCGACACACTATTGAAAGCACCAACAAGAGATGAAGGGGAGGCCAAGTGAAAAGTGTAGTATAAGTATGGACGATATGTGCAGCGGGAAGCTTCTGCACCAGCGGTCCATCACTCAGTTTAGTCCTATCATCCCCTAGTTTCTTGATTTTTATCATTCTTTCGCGACGTTAGAGACGTCCCATTTTTATTCTAGCCAATCACGTTCTCTCCTACTATAAACATTCCTAGCTCCAAGCTACAACGATCGCCATGCTCACCACGATGTATTCCCTTGTTTCGCTTCTCATTGCGACAACTGCTTTAACGTCTCCCGTTAACCCAGGAATTGGTCCATCTCCGCACCTTACTCCATCTAATAGTATCAGCATCAGGCGCCGCCAAGCCCAGAATGCTGCGACCGGAAAGGCGGTCTATTTTATCACGAATAATGCGCAAAATGCTGTTGTCGCCCTACCGATCAATTCCGACGGTACTCTAGGTGATGCATCTGTCACAGCGACCGGTGGAGCAGGCTCGAATTCGATTGATGGCGCGACTAAGCAGCCAGCAGTACCTGATGCGCTCGTAGGACAATCTGCTTTAACCGTCTCAGGCCAGGTAAGAAGTCCTCCTGTTTGCTTTGAGAGTACCGGTAAACTGATCCAAGTGTAGAATATTTTCGCAGTAAACGCTGGTTCAAACACAGTGTCTATGTTCGCCATTTCTCCCAACGATCCATTAAAACTTCAGCAAGTCGGACAGCCTGCAGCCCTGCCTGGCACTTTCCCTAATACAGTGGCTGCATCGTCTGCGAACTCGCTCGTCTGCGTCGGTACCACAGGATCGAAGGCTGGGGTTTCCTGCGCGAACTTTGATACCAAGAATGGTATTGGGCAAATGGATAGTTTGAGGCCATTTGATTTGGGACAAAGCGATCCGCCGGTCGGACCAACGAACACTGTGTCGCAAACATTCTTTTCTGAAGACGAGACTATGCTTTTCACGACTGTGAAGGGTGACCCGGCTGCCAACAAGACTGGGTTTCTGAGTGTGTTCACAGTCGATGGGAATGCGTCACAGGCTGGTGTAAAGCCCCGTCATAATGCGAAAGGGGGAAAGAAAGGAAAGGGCAAAGGGAAGGGGAGATGGGAAGGGAATGCAAATGGGAATGCCAATGGAAACGAGAATGCAAACACAGCTGCAAACAACACCAACGTATGCGCCGGAGCCGGAGCCGGAGCCGGAACCTCCATCTCCAAACTTTCAACACAAGAAACTCAATCGAGCCCCCCCGGAACCGCTGTCCTCTTCGGTTCGCAACCCATCCCGGGCCAAAACCAGATCTTCGCCACAGACGCCTCCTTCGGCGCCGGCATCCTCTCACTCGACTCCTCTAACACCGCAACGCTAATCGCAAACCAAAGCATCAACGGCCAAAAGGCAACATGCTGGGCCACTATCTCTCTCTCCACCAACTCAGCATTCGTGACGGATGTCGGGGTGAACCGAATCGTTGAGATGAGTCTCAAGGATGCGAGTATCGTGGGTGTCATCGACTTGAGTACGGTGGAGGCAAGTGCAGCCGATCCTGGACTTATTGATTTGAAGGCCGCGGGGAATTTCTTGTATGCCTTAAGTCCGGGGAATGGGACGAGTGAGGCTGCTATTAGTGTCGTGGACGTGAAGAGTAAGAAGTTAGTTCAACATGCAACGTTGAAAGGGGTTGGGGCTGGGGCAAATGCTCAAGGTATAGCTGTACTCTTGTAGGGGGTTTCAGACAGGAGGAGAGATTCCAGCGTATACAGGTGTGATCCAGGAAAGGGGCGATGGGCTCGACCTTTCCTCATCTTAGGAGAAACGAAGCTGAGGATATTTTAGGCAATCCTACCAAGAAAATTAGAATGTACAGTCTGATGCACTCGACGCAATTGACTAGAGAGCCTTCTATCGCCTAATAAAGTGTAGCGAAATTCAGATCGCAGATACCTGACATGATACGCAAAGAAAACGTAACCACCCGCCATCTACACTAGATTCATCCTCTAATGCCCACTAGTGGGTACGAAATAGACACATACTCCATTTCCATAAATGCCGCGCGGTGGTTCGGAATTCTCTAGAAGATCCTCCAACCCTTTAACACACCACTTTCTGCCTCTACTACTACTCGTCACCATCTCACTCTAAGTCTTCCCCCCAGCCCCATCCAGGGGCGCAAAGACTTGCCTTCGCAAAGTAACAATTTCGCACTTTTATTAGTGGCGTCCTTCTCTAGTCTGCGTTCTGCGAAACCTGCCAATACCTAGCTTGTGAAAGTGATTTGTCACAGTAATCTCCACGGGGCGAGAGAGCATAGAATTGACTTATCAAAAAGAAATATTTCCGAAATCTCTGAGATAGGGTGTGAGGTCCGTAGGTCCGCCTGATCCTTTCCCCTCCTGTATGTTTTAACATGATTGTGCACACGGAAGGATTTCGACGGCCACGCTGGAGGAAACTGGTTTATAGAATGTCTTCGGATTCCTCTGATGATCTGAGTGGCCTTGGTTTAGCTATGGACTGAGGGAGCGAGTATATAATAGCATGTTCTTGGATGAAGAGATATACAAGAATAAAGGGTGACGAAAACGCGGCAGTGCTCCATCTTGTAACTGAGACAGGGCAATGGTCGTTTGTTGGCCGGCAAGCATTTAATTAACTTCAGATGATTGGAAATAATTTCTCCCTTCCCATCACAGCAACATTCGTCACTGATTGTCTTTGCGGATTACCCTAACTTGCTGTTTGAAAGGGCACTATTTCCTCACTCGTTGTCAGACATCGGCTGTATTGTAGCGACGTGAGGCAACCTATTCAAACGCCATGCATAAAAGAAAAAGAATAAATGCTAGAATTTCTATTCAATTCAATTCCCGCCTCCATCACGCATCCGCACCATAAACAAACAGCCTCTCTCCTTCCACAGGCTTAAACGACTTCTCCATAGGCTCTCCCGCACGCCCCCCAAATACTAGCTGAGCCCTAAGCTTCCAGTCCAACGGCACCTTCCAGTGCTCCATGGCCTTGCGATCAATGACGGGGTTGTAGTGCTGCAAGTTTGCGCCAAATCCTTCGGCCTCAAGTGCTACCCATAGGGCAAATTGGTGCATGGCGGAGGTGTGCTCGGACCAGTCAGGGAAGTGGTGGGCGTAGAGAGGGAAGGCTTTCTGGAGAGCTTGTACAGGTTCTGGATCTTCGAAGAAGAGGATCTAGGGATGAGATGTTAGTAGAGATCCATTTGTGGCGGTGGGGTCATACGACATGGCGTCATGGGGGTGGGGCTTGCAGGAGCAGGAGCTGGTGGGGCAATCTCGAAGCATGCTTGCCTCAGGTCATGCAACCCCCCCTGATGACCTTCAAAATATCTTCGTGACAAGATGAAGAAAAATTCTCGACCGCCTTGCATGGGCACAGGAAATAGGAATTATCGACATACCGATCCATAAGCTGCTCTGAATCCCTTCACCTTGGCTTCGGTGCTACCAAACTGGTCGGCTGGAACCATGGGCTTCAACACCTCAAGTACCATATCCCAGAACGTCTCGTGCTCTTTTTTCAGCAAGACAACAAGTCTTGCCGACTGTGAGTTGAAGGATGAGGGGACGTGAAGAACGGCTTCTTTGACGATTGCGGTGATTTCCTTGTCGGAGATGGGAGCCGTGTTATTCAAGGCATAGTAAGTACGACGTTCCTTGATGGCCTGGAGGAAAGACTTTTGTGAGGCCATTGCAGATGAAGAGCTCGATGAGAAAGGTTTTGGAGAAAGATCAGAAGGAGTCGGATTGTGTGTCTGTTGAAGGGACGGGGCAACGCGCGCAGCCGCGAAGCTTTTGTACCCAGACCCGCGGACACCTCTGCTCACGGTTTGTAAGGAATTCCTAAGCATGGTTGCGTATGATACGAGACAGGAGAGGAGAATCGGAGCAAATGTGGATCCGTTTGGGACGTCTGCTTTGCTTTGCACGGCACTCGGCACTTGATTTCGCAGTACTTGTTCCAGGAAAAGTGCTAGGAGGAGGCCCGCGAAGAGCCCGGTTACCAAGCCGAAGGTCAGTTGGGTCATGACGCCAGCAGTTGCCGTCGAAAACTCGTCATGCAAGGGATAGGTATCTCGGGCGAGATAGTGAGATAGTGACCATTCAATGAGTCTTGATAATGAAAATGCAGAGTATTTCCAAGCAATTCGGAATTTCTGTACATTGGGGAGAGGGCTCCTCGCAAGCTTCGCATCGGGTCGGTCTCGGAAACGCCAGATTGCCGGCGGCTTAGCAAACGCCTCTACCGATTGTTAAGCCCTGCACGTGACTGCGGAATCCTACCGCAGCAGACGATCGTCATGACCATTTTTCTTCTCTTTCTATTCTACTTCTGCATGTTGTAGCACCGTGGTCAAAATTGCGAAATGGCTTTAATATCTTTCCTGTTTCATTCAATTCACGCTCGCCCAGAGGCCCAATCCTGCACCAATCAAAAGCAAAGTGCCCCGACCCAAAACTAGTCTCCCCCATTGACGAACCAAATCATGCGTATCGCTTTTGCCCTCTGAGCTGGACATCTTCGCTCTCTTCATCAGCTCCTCGTTCGTTCTATTCATCACAATCTTCGTATAGGGCGCCAACCCAAAGGTCGCTACTGCTGCCGCAATGTATAGATTCCTCCTCGCGTTCGTCACAGCTCCCGTGGATGTCAACGTAGTCCTGTATGCAAGCGTCGCGAACCCCACAGCGGAGCTCATGGATAGGGATACGACTGGTGTAATGCCATAGTCGTAAAGGATCTGCCATTGTGTTGCGAGGGTTGATGGGGCTGAGTGCAGGAGTGCTGGGAGCGTGACGATAGATGAGGAGAGATTTGTTCCTAGAATTCGTTAGGGTGGTATTTGAACCGTGGAGATGACATGCGATATGACTTACCAGCTGCAATTGCAGCGGCCAGAATGCTGAAAGTTTGTAGGGCGGGGGTAATCGAGTCGGCGGCGAGTGGAGTCAACATCCTGAGTGTGAACGAGGCTGGTAAGGCTGCGGTCTTGATTAAGCTTCTCGTAATTTGTGGATAGGTAGCGTAGACGGGTGGTGTTGCTTGTTCGAAGTGAAATTTAGGAGGGTAGAGTGTGACCCTTTATACCTCATTCAACCTACGAACTATTATTCTCGCACGTAAAGGTAGCCGTCCCAACTCAAAGCCGGATTCCGGACTATGGTGGCAGGCTGGTGTTTCGGCCGTGAGCTGCTTGGCGCGGAAGGTAAAGCGGTGTTCCCATCGCTCCGGCGGCACACACCAAAAATCACCAAGAATTAGAAAAGCCGTACCTTAATATCTCGACAACGGCGTAATAATAAATCCGATCTCTCCTACATTTGCATTTTATACCTATTTTGAGTCTCATCTTAAACTTACAAGGTAACAGTTATCATCAATATGTCAAGTTCGGGTCCAAATCTACAGCCGAGTTGCTCTATATCTAGAAGTACCAGAGAAATTACCTTGAAAGTCGAATATAAGACTCAAAACAGATATAATAGGATGACTATGAGAATTAAGAATCTATTAAGCCATTGTTTAGATATTACGGCACATTTTATCCGATTCTTGGTGATTTTTAGGTTGTAACAGGGAATAGTGTGTGCAGGGAACTAGTGGAACACATTACCGGTAACTCGGAATGGGTGGTCAGCACTATCTGCGCACGCCACTATTCCTCCTCCTTCACGAATTTTCGTTTTGTCGTTTGATATTCTGTACCCAAAATACGACTCCTGTCATGTCAGCATCACCAGGTGACATATGAAAATATCCACTTCTTCTTATATATCCAAATACATACGGGCTCAGAGGATCTAGACACCGAAGGTCTCCCCACTAGGGGTAGGAAAACGATGGAGGATATTCCGGCCCATTCCACATTCGAGCTCACGCTACTTGACCAACGGTATTTTTTAAGCAGAACATGCACTTCTAACGTTCCTCACTCGTAAAATGTGCCCGCGCTTAGGGTTCGATTGAGCAGCAAATGCATTTAGGGCCCATCAAAGATATATTAGACGGGTTAACAGCCAAACAGCAATTCGCAGCTCCTCCACTCCCCTACTCCCCGCACTCCTCATCTCCTCATATTCCTATAAAGTTCTCCCCAATGACCCCAGGCCTTCCGAATCGAGCAGCGAAGCTTACCCCAAGAGGAATACGAGGATGCCGAATCGAGCCAGATAGAGAACCGCAGGAAGTAGAGGCAATACAGGAGGATTATCGATTCTGCCTCGAATTAAAGTGAATCTCATAGTTTTAAAATTGAGATGATTGCTGCCGTCATAGTGTTGCGAGTGGCGATAATTTAAGCCGTATATGAATATCCATCCTCCCAGCCAGAACCCCTCAAGCTTTTTTACCATTGACTTCAATTCCGATTCAAAATTTATCTACCATGACCTCGAAACTATTTACCTTCCTCCTTGTCACCCTCGCGCTGACATCCCACGCTCTTGGAGCCGCATTCGACTGGCAACGGGACATCCACTCTCCAATGGACAGTTACAGCATTGTCGACTTACAATGGGAAGGAAAGATCTTCCCAGACGGGGAGAACGTAACATTATTTGGCGAAGACTTCAAGGTCAATTCATACTCTATCCATCAAGTATTTTGTCCTGATCTCCTAGCTAGGCAGTGCTAACCCAGATTCGCGCCCTCAACCCTAACTGGGTTGCTCCCATTCTACCAGACGAAGAAAAGGCCTCCTTCGTAAAGCGACAGGTCAACGGTGAGATACCCCAACTTTATTTGGGTTAGAGTTGAGCGCAAGTGGTCCGATCAGTGACTGATGGGATCTGTTCCAGGTTATTTCTGCGGTGTCTATGCAACAGCCCCGATCGGCGAAGTCTATGATCAGATCAACTACCTCAAATCCCTTGGTAATACTGCTTGTACGGTAGCTGGTCGAAGCTGTGTGCGTAACGGATGTATGAATAATGGAGCAATATATGTATGTTTCCGTTCCATCCTTCCCTCTCTCATCTACTTTCCCCAACTCCACCGCTATCTTTCCTCCTTCCCACTAACCCCCTACTAGATGTGTAACGACAACCCCAATCAACTATCCCTATCCTGCCAAGGTGTTCGTATCTACGCCGAAGACGCAACAGACCGATGCACACGGTCCGGTGCACCGTGTGGCGGGACTGGGCCGGTAGGAGCACGGAGTCCTGTGTCAGCGCAGATTTTTCCGGCGTATTATCCGGGTTTGAACGTGTTGACAGGATATTCAAATTGTGGAGATAGTCCGACTAAGAGACCAAATGAGTATGATGCTCCCGGGCCGTTTGGCCGCTGTTGGTCCTAGGGGAGATGTGGGAAAACGCAGGAGATGGAGGGGTTTAATCCCTACGCTAGATCTAACCGATTGGAAGTCCTTGCTTGCTGCTGGGTTCTGGTGGGATAGGAGGCGCACAATATTCTCTGTATCATGTTATATATGGGGATTGTATGGGAGCGTTAGCATAACAGGAAGAGTGGGAATTGATTAACTGGTGGAGTAGAAGGATATGCCGCCTAGCGATTGACTCAGATTCCACACTCATTGAGATATGTTTCATGAACTACTAACTGACCCCAAAACCCTACACACAACTAACTATGAATCTGGCTTGGAGCTGCACCGAGTTCCGTAGCTCAGGCAAAGAAAACCACGGTCAAGCAATGAAAATCACGGTCAGGCAATGAAAACCACGGTCAGGCAATAAAAACCACAGTCAGGCAATGAAAACCACGGCGGGGATGTAGGCAAGACACGCGCATATTGAAAGATTCGCGAAGGTTTTTAGTTTTACTGAAAGGTTTGTCGTAAGGCATGTAAAAAGGTCTCCATAATTCTTACAATAGTTTTAATAAATAGCTATGGGAGGTAGTAGGATGAGAAGTGACATCATTTCAGAATCCAAAATTAACTCACATACTGATTCGCTAGTCTAATCCGAGCTTCGAAACTTGCGGGGAGATCATAAAAGTGGTGAACAAAGCCAGGCGGAAACTACATTTCAGGGAGGTCTATCATGAAGAAGTCGAACAGGTGTTCTTGCATTAGAGAGTGGACAAGGGTAATTTATCATAGGTTTCAAAGGGTCAATCTTCTATCACACACAGCAGACGAATCTATATAGCTCGATAGAATGCACGCGCGACATAATTCAAGACAAAATTCCGCATGGTAGTAACGATCCTGCTATCCCGCCGAGATGGTTAGCTGTTAGGCTCTCCTCTGGTCTTATTCCATGCTATATAGTAAAACATTGTAGTCGGTGAGAGCGAGGATTCCTTTCGCGTGGTGCAGTGTTGGAGGGGATTCTAGGCTCGGAGGCTTTCTCTAAAATTGGAACTGTTAGCCTGTAAGAACTGCGATTCTTGCGGCCGCCTCATCCATGGTAATTGGGTTTAGAATGTTCCAGCCATTCTTCTTCTGTATATGCTGATTTAAGATTGCACGAATGGGACGCATTGATCGGACAGTAATAGGGAAGTAGCAGTAACGGTTGGAATAATACCAGAACATCGCCTTGTCAAATATCACAAAAGAATGGGAGAGTTGTTTCCTTAGTCCTTTAGTCCTTTCTTGCCAAACTACAGGACTCTGAACAAAGATGGCATATGAAGGGGGTAAGAGAGGTCCAAGCGGTTCCAACGGCTACCGCAGCTTTCTATCCCCAACGGAAATCGCGCCCGAGGACGATATCCATCTTTAACTGGTGTCGGTATCAAAATTAGGATCTAAGGTACTCGCTTCACGTGGTACGGGGTTGTGGGGCGAGGGATCGGTCAGAAATAGTAATAGTTGTTGACGACAACAAATCGAAAGCGTGCAGAAGTTGAGCTAATGTCTGAGGAAGCTCATAAATTCACCCTACCACCTGATGAGCAATATGAAATCTTTTGGCTCAGAACAGAAAGCTGCATCTGTCAACGTTCTCCCTTTTCACGCAAGAAACTTAACAGATAATCTGCTGTCGCAGCTCTTCTTCCAATTATTATTTTCACTGATAAAGGATTCCCGCCCCATTTATTTTTAATCCAAAGTCATCGAGCCTCCAATGGTTGGATCCAGACCTAGAGTTTGGAATGTCAAGTCGCAATATCTCCGGAAGATGTGAGGGCCATCCTTTGTTGGTTCTGTATCATAATGGCTCCTGTGGTATATATCACTTTAAGTGAGGAAGATGAGAAGATCCCTCCCGTCATCTTTGGCCATCTAGCACCTGGGCATATTCACATCGACCGTGGAATCATATCAGGGAAGATTTGGTCAGTTAGGCCTCTCGCTGGAATTTGAGACACTCCAACAGCATGCAAGATTCTGTATAAGAACACCCCTGTCATGTCCATGTTAGGTGTGGTCGAGTGGCACGCGCCGGGTTCCTTTTCCGTGGCCTTGCATGTTAAGTGTACGACATGATCTTGGCTTAATTTATATTACTCTGACCCTGGAAAATCTTGCGGGGTCGTTAAAGTACATCGCTTTTACTGGTAGAGGAAACCTTAGCCACGTGTTGGTCCAAACTCCGTTCTGCCTAGACTGTATCCATTCCGGAGCTATCCTTCCGCATTTCTTTCCTCGTTCGGCGACAATCGCTCGAGGAACAACGTCTATTTAGGTTATGAACTCTAACATTCCCGCCTAAGAATTTCAATAGGAAAACCTCCTTTCTGTTGTATTCTTAGGAGCTGCAACCATGGCAATCCTAGGGAATCGAGAGCAGCTAACGACGGATCCGCGCTTGACCAACATCGCAAAAGCCGATACGATACCATGGTATAGGAAACCGAATTTACGGCTCTTGTATCTGATTTTGGTTCCATGTGCGCTGGGTGTAGAAATGACCTCTGGATACGACTCGTCTATGATGGTAAACGTTGCGGTACTTCGTGGACCATGAAGCTGATGGTGCGCAGAATGGACTCCAAGCTGTGCCAGCATGGGATAAATGTATGTATCCCACAAATAGTCGCATAGAGAGATGGTACTAAGAGGACTAGATTTTAACCACCCCACAGGATCTCGCCTCGGTCTCTACAATGCGATGTATTCCCTCGGTGCGCTTCTCGCGGTTCCATTTGTACCTTTCGTCTCCGACAGGCTTGGTCGTCGCCGGACTATTCTCTTTGCATCCGTTATCATGATCATGGGTGGTGAGTACCTTCAGGCTCCTCCCCGGGCCGCCAATCGTCTGCTGATGAAGTGTAGCGGCTATTCAAGGAGGCTCACAAAACTACAACATGTTCATGGCGTCTCGGTGGCTCCTTGGTTTCGGCATCCCATTTGCTATTGTGAACGCGTCCTCGCTGCTAGGCGAGCTCGGATACGCTAAAGAACGTGCGGTTCTCACGAGTGTTTTTAATGCATCTTGGTTTGTTGGTAAGCTAATCCTACTCGGTTTACGCTAGCAGTTCCATTGACAAATTTTGAATCTTCGCAGGGTCCATTGTCGCAGCCGGAACGACGTACGGCACATTCACGATAACAACCACGTGGTCCTGGCGCATTCCCTCTCTGCTCCAAGCTTTCCCATCGCTCCTGCAAATTATCTTCATGTATTTCTGCCCCGAAAGTCCTCGATGGCTGATTGCCAAAGACCGCAACGAGGAAGCGCTTGGTATCCTCCAGAAATATCATGGCGAAGGCATTGATGGAGAAGAATTCGTGCGTCTCGAATACGCCCAAATCCGCAGCACCATCACGCTCGAACTCGAAAATGCCCGCAAATTCGCCTGGGCTGATGCGTGGCGTGATCCAGCTATGCGACGTCGCTTCTTCCTTGCTGGAGTGACGGGCTGGTTCACGCAATGGTCCGGAAATAACCTGATTTCGTTCTACCTTAAGTTGATTCTGAACCAAATCGGTATCACGAATCCCAGGACGGTACAGAAAGTGATTCTGAGTAACACTTGCTGGAGTCTGATCAACGGGCTACCAATCGCACTCATCTCGCCGCGGTTCCCGCGCCGGAAGGGATTTCTGTTTTGCACGATTGGAATGTTGTGTGTGTATATCGTCTGGACTATTGCGTCAGCTCGGAGGGAGATTACGCATACAAACTCGGCGGCTATTGCGGTGGTCGTATTCATTTTCGTATACTCGCCGTACGCATTTCCCTTCCTTCTGAGAACAAAGAGCTTAATACTCGAGTTTCCTGGTGCTAACCGATCAACTACAGGTTCTACAACATCGGCTGGAACGCGCTGGCTTACACCTACATGGTTGAAATCTTTCCATTTCAGCAACGGGCCAAAGGCATCGCGTTCGAGCAACTCACCGTCCGCCTTGCCAACTTTTTCAACACATATGTCAATCCGATTGCGATGGCTAGCATCAAGTGGAAGTACTACATCTTCTACTGTGTGTGGATGATTGTGGAGATCAGCACCGTGTACTTTATGTTTCCGGAGACGCATAATCGGACTTTAGAGGAGTTGAGTTTCATGTTTGAAGGTAAAGAGAAACAGCTGCAGGCAGAGGAGGGTGTGAATAAAGTCTTGCATGAGGTTGAGGGAAAGGGAAGCTCCGTGCAGCTGGAGGAAGTTGAGAAGAGTGAGGCGTGAGCACAGACTCTAGTACGACGTCACGAACTGTCAGTTCAATCATCTCACTTGGATCATGGCAGGTGTTCATTGAGAACAGAAGTCTGCATCCTATATATGCTATTTTCGATTATAGCAACAGGTTCGGTCGCTCACCTCCTCTCTAATAGCGTTCCGCAATTTTTGCGAATGTGTTGGATGGCTTCTGGAATGCCATACGAAACACGTGGCAATTATCACAGGTTATGGGTGGAGTTTCCATGAGTCTCCACCTAAGAGAAGGATTTGCAGAGAATGGAGCAGAGCATCACCCTAAGGGCGGTGACTGGTGATTATTTTTGCCTAGATACTATGACATGTTATCACAGAATACGGAACACAACCCGGGTGGATTTGATCTATCAAGTCTCTTACTAGAATTGATAAGGACGGAAAAAGGATACTAATAACCATCACAAATTAGGTCTTGGAAATGTTTTGTTGTGGGCAAGCATATAGTATAACGCAAGTGATGGGCCATTTACAAATAACGATGCTTTTCTCACACTACTCTGTCTGTAACCCGGCTTACATTCTCCTATCTAAAAACCCTTCTCCTCCGTCCAAGCAGATGAATATCCATACGGCATCCACTTGACCATCCCTTCCACCCTCGAAATTGCCCCATTATCAACCTTAATCAATTGCGGAATCAAATACGTACTCGGCACACTTGCTGTCACAGGCAAAGAACCTGGTCCAGTCGCCGTATTATCGATCATCGCAACCACCATCACCACACCTTTCTCAGCATCCGTAACCAGAACGCGCCGATCTCGAACCGTGCTCGTGAGATTGTACAAGCCGTTGGGAGAAACCCCATGGCCGGCCATCTGAGCCGCGCAAGTCAGGTTTCCTTGTACACCGTTGTCGCGGCGGAGACAGGATGTCGTGAATGGGGTATCTGTACTAGAATGCTGCTCCAGGCCGTCAAAATAGGACGTCATAATCGTGGATGGTATACTGGTAGCAGTGGCTCCAGTTCCGTTTTGGAGGAACACTGGGTCAAGAGGACCGAGAGGATCGCTTTCCCACTCCACTGGAAGAGGTGGGCGCATGAGAGTCATCGTGCCGAACCTTGAGCCGGATGACTCTGCTCTTACAGCGTTGGCTTCGATCTCGGTGATTTTGCCACTATCAACCCTAATTCGAAGGGCAAGGACACCCGGGGTCGTGTGCTCTTTGGTAAGCCCCCAGTATCCAGCTGTTCCGCTCGTAGGGTCTGCAAATTGCGCTGCATACTCGTCTACTCCAGGCTTGGAGAAACTGCGGAGACTCAACCATAAGCCATCACCCACATCGATGAACTGTCCATTTTCAGAATATCGCACACCTTGGGCTAACGGAAGAGTTGAAGCGTTATGAACCAACATGGCTTGAAGGACCTGGTCCAGAACTTTGCTAAGACAAATACGATCGCAAGGGTCTCCCATGAAAATGCTGTTGCTGGTATCCTGGGAAGAGACTGGAGGGAGAGGAGAACCCACGAATGCCGATCGCATACCATACGGATTCTCAGTCAGGGTCATTTCAATACGGAACAACTTATCCCCCTTCAAGCGGAATCCCTCAGTCGCTTGCAACGTCCGTGGGACATCGAAATATGCGGGAATGGGCGAGGATGTGCCATTCACGCTCGGCAGTTCCCTGACCGTGCTATTATGATCAAGAATGGTCATCGAAAGCACAACCTGGCGTTCTTCATCCACGAGAAACCTACGGTCGCGGATTTTGGTAACGAAACCTAGGAATCCCGTCTGAAATTGGGCCTCGCAGCCAAGTGAGGCAAATGCTGTGTCGTTGGAATGACCATAAGGGTCCCCGGTTCTCTGGTTGGTAGTATTAAGACCATCTTCTAGGCGATTGCAGTCTTTGTCGAAGAAAGAGTAGTTTCCTTTGGGGTCGTTGCGTTCCATACCGGTGTAGTACTTGTTACTCTGCGTGATAAGCCTGTCCCGTGATATGCGTTGGGCTAGTGGCACGGCTTCCAACCATACAGCTTCCGGTTGGGTCATATTTTCATAGCGGGCAGCACCGATCGGATCGCGGGTGATTTGCGTCTCGATCTCAGTTATCTTCCTATCATCATTTATCTTGAGCCGGGCGATATAGATAGTACCCACGCCGTTTTCCTTGAGTGTTGTAATGGCGCCTACTTCGTTGGCTTCCGGGTCTGCGAAGACATGGCGGTATTTGCCCGGAGAGCTGGCGACAAGCCACTCTCCCTCCCCAAGTGGGACTATCTGCTGATTCTCCACATACTTTACGCCTGGCGCTGTCGGTAGACGTTTTGGGTCGTGAGCCGCTATAGCAGTGAGGTATTCCGACATCAGGCTTTCTAGACACGACCGATCGCAGCCTCCAGATTGTGGCTGCGCAATAACTAGAACCGCAACCGACGCCACAGCCGCAATAACATTTCGAAGCCAAGTCGTCATTTCGGATTAGGTTAGAGTGAGTGAAGCGTTGCGCTCCTCCCGAGGTCGGTGTTCGATTCAAAAGTTCTTCGATCCTCCAACGGAAACACAGTGAACGTAACGGGAAGGACATCGGCGATGTATATACCTCATTGGACTTGAAGATCGACAACCGCTGTGTCGGTGAGCCTCCACACATCTAGCCCTGGAAAGTAATATGTTTGTGTTAGACTTTCTCGTTTTAGCCGACCAATTCGGCATCTACAACGTCACGTGCGTTGTGGGGAGCTAGGATTTTTGGGTAATTGGACTTGAGTGGGCAATTAGGAACCTTATTGTAGGGACACTCAATGGGACTTACCAAGTGGGGACTTACCAGCACATTGAGCAGTTGCATGAACCCTGGAAGCGTTCGAGAAGTATTCTGGAATGAAGAAGATGAACAACAAAAGCATTCCCTTTTCATTGAAACTGTATCTAACGCCTCTTCTTGATGGATATTGCCATGATGTGAGATTACTTAAAGAACTCCTCCCTAACCTTCCGTGCCTTTTTCAACTCCCCAGAGTTTATCTCTCCCCTCACGGCTTACTCAATTGCTCCTTCCTAAAAAATTTGAAAAACCCTAACGGAACAGCAAGCTGACAAGCCAACGCAATCCAAAACCAAGGCTTCCGCAACCCCTCCACTACTCCCGCCGAAAAATCTGGAAACACATCCCCAGGCCCATCCCTATCCGGCGCCGTCGCCTTCGCCACCATCGTCACCACCGTCCCCAACACTTGCGCCAACACCAACGACACCGCAATATGGATCCTCGTCAGCGTCTGCAAAAGCATCATCCCAAACCCCACACCCTGGAGCGCATCTAACACGCCCAGCCAAAGCCATAACGAGCGGCCCGCGAGAGCCCCAGCAACTTGACCGCCAGGCATCCAAGGTACCCAGGTGCCGATTCCAGAGACGCCCCAGAGCATTTGCGCCCAGCGAGGGGCGCCGAGACCGATGGCAAAGATGGGGAGAATCCAGGAATGGTTTTTGCTGAGTTTGGCGAAGAGGAAGAGGAAGGCTGACCAGATGGCTACGAAGAATGCGAGGACGAGAAGGCCGATTGCCCAATGCGGCGCAATACGGGAACTCCAGAGGTAGGACCAGTTGCGACCGTAAGGTGTGGAGAGGAAGTAGTTCTGCAGTGTTACTGTGATGAAGAACCAACCAACTATCTTTCGCCGTAGGAGGGTGGTGTAGAAGGAAGGGATCTTCCCAGGAGATTGATGATAATATGGAGGAAGCGAAGTGAGGAGAATGACGCCAATTGCGAACAGGAAGATAGCTATCGGGATCGTGATCGCTGCAGCTTTTGGCGATGATGTGAGAGTGTTGTTGGCTGATGACGTTGTCATGGTGCTGCCCCAGTAGAACAGTGCTGTGATGTAGATCTGTTGAGTTCCTTGGATCAAACACGCTCGGAAGATCCAGGACTTAATGGGCGCGCCACCTAAATAGTTTGTTAGCGCATGATTTCGAACATGACCAGAGTGGAATTTATCTGCAAAACTTCTTGCTGGGATCAAGGTGAACATAAACAGGACGCAAAGACCTGTCATGAATTGCTCTTGTTGCACCAGCGTGATGAGCAGAGAAGACCACGGGAAGAAGACTTACCCTCATCCCCAAAATTAAGCGCAAAAAAGATCGACCCACTCGACGATGCCGCCACATAAAGCCCTGTTGCAATATTCTGTACCAAATCCCTCCCTGACCCAGCCTTTGCGAAGGGTGCCATACCCACGAACAAGAATGCAGTGCCATAAAAAGCAAACGGGACCGAAAGCACGTACTTTGAGGGCCGCATCCGGAACAAACCCCACCAGACACCAGACATTACAATGAAAACTGCGCCGAGAACATACAGCTTCGTTGCAGTCTGGCCCTGTGGGCCTGTAAGCAAAGTAATCTGGTACGAATTCGCAGCCATGATCTGACCCAGGGCAAGCAACAGAGAGTAAATCGGCCAATCACCGATTCGAGTCTGCATCCATCGCTTGAGAAACGACGGCCGTCGATAATTCTCGCCGAGAAGGAATTCGTCAACGGTCGACGCCTGACTTAGGACATCATCACTCTCATTCTCATCGAGAGAGCTGTACGGAGACACGCTACGGCTTCGAGCACTTTGGGAGCTGGATCGAGGCCATGCGGGGCTAGGACTGGGGCTTAATCGTCGATTTCCTCTTCTGAGTCTTTCGTTGCGCATCTTTCTGAACCATTCTTTTTCGCTTTCGACTAGGAATTCTTCGACGCAGAGACTAGTTTCGGATGTCTTGCCGCTCAGGTTACTAAGCATGGTCTCAAACTTGTTGTAGTATACGCCCGTTGTATCATTAAAAGTCGGATTTACTTTTTGCAGACTAAAGTCTGATTTATTACCTTTGATATCCTTCAAGTCAAGGGCAGACGACCGGGTGCGTCTGTGGTGTGAAGACTTCACACGCAGCGGAAGGGAGCCTGGATCAAGAAGGCCATGCCTTGACCGTGACCTCGAGACCGACCCCTCGTCGAGAAAAGGTGGACGGGGAGTGCGTGATTTACTGCGTCCCCTTGAAAGATGCGCATCGTCTGAAGACTCTCTTAGGCCACCTTCAAGGGCACTCATAGTGCGTTGCAGTTCTACTTCTCGATAATTTGCTTCGGCCTGGTGGCGGCTAATAAAGAGCTCGTCATTATTATATAGAGTTGGCTGGCTCCCCAGTGGTAGACCCTCTGGGCTAATCTCATGGATCTCTGGCGTTTGTGGGCGCGAAGAGGTGTCGCGGTGTTGTAGCGGTGGTTCGGGTCTAAGACTTGCAAGATGGCCTGGTCCAGATCGAAGACCAAGAGAGAGACTGTGTTGCAGATTGCTACTGCGGATATCGGTTGATGGTCCAGGGGAATCATCGCGACTGTCCCGGGCTTCGTAAGTGGATAACCGGTCGTTGCTAACTGCTCGAGACGCTGGATAAAAGAACGAATCGTCGGGCATTAGATTCTTCGTGGATGACCTCGAACGTGGACGGAAGATCCCATGATGAACTGAATCCTTTTCTTCTTTGTGTATGCGGATCGCTGTTTGCTGGAGCGTGTTGAGGTCCTCAACCCACTTCGCCACTGGAAACCGTTGCTTGGCGGATCGAGCCCTCATCATTGCTCTTACCTCTGTTTTTGAGGACAAGGCTTCTTCGATCGCTGACTTAAATTGATGTAGCATGTGTTGAGTAGTGGTCGACTCAACTGTGAACCACCATCCAGGCATCTGACCTAGCCCTCCAACTCGAGCACCGACACCAAGCGCTCCTTTCCTGCCGAACTCGACAGCTACGAGTCCAAACGGCTCATCTCGAGAGGGAATGAGAGCAAATTCCGCGCCACTGAAGATATACGGTGGAAGAGCTGTGAATTCTGGTTTCGAGAAGACCCGCTTGGGGTATTTCTCCATCATCTTCCCGAGTTTCAATGCTGCGAATTTCCCATACATGTCGATGACAGGACCGATACAAATCAATTGTACTTTAGAATGTTTTTCCAGGACAGCGGGGAATACATCTGCTATAAGGTCGACACCCTACATTCGTTAGCAGGCGTAACACCTTAGTGGGATCGGTATTACCTTCTGGTTACTCCACCGGCCAACAAATACGAAGAGGTCAGCTTCGGGATCTACCTCAAGACCCGCCCACTCTTGAGCCTGTCTTCTCAGCTCTCCGCGACCAGCTTCGTACTCCGGATCAACCGTGATGATCTCGGTCTCTTCCTTTCCACTCCATGGTGCCGTGTCGCTAGGGTCCGGGTTCGGCAATTTCCCGACTTCCTTCAAACCCCAGAAGATTGGATATCTAGCGTAAGACCTTTTGCCATATTTATTCGACACCCCAACCGCTCCGAATCCGCGTTGGTGGACTCGGAGATAGCTTGCTCCGGCGTGCAGGAGATTGAAGACTTCTCCAAATTGGATGTATTTCTCCACAATCGACTGGTCTAAATTGAAGACACGACACACTTCTTGCTGCTCCTGAGGTGTGCGCATTGGCCATAGTCCTTGAAACTCTGCATTATGGAGTGATAGTGCACAGGGGATTGTTCGTCCTTCGGAAAGTAGGTATAGGGGTGCCGCAGCGCCATGATAATCGTTAATGTGGTACAAGTCGATGGGAAACCTCTTGATTGTTTCAGCAATACAGGCGTTCCAGGCGCTGTAGTATACGGCAGAATCAAGATCATCCATTCTTGGAGGGTATGGCTCAGATTTAGATTGTTGTCGAAAGATTGGTGCATCCAGCAACACGTAGGTGATGTTGTTGAGTTTGTGGTACTGCACCTGGACCTCGTACGCAGTACCGAGAACGGTCACCGTCATTGGATCTGCCGGAGTATCGATAGGATAGTCAATTCCTCCGACGCAGGGAACAACCCAGATCAAGTCTTGATGAGGCAAATTCTTGCCCATAAGCTGCGCCATCACACCTAGACCACCGATCTTGATCTTAATTCCCCAGTCTTCGATGTCGTACTCCATTGTCGCGATGAGGATCATGGGCCTTTTCTTCGCAGCCCCAAAGGAAATGGTAGATGCTGGCGCTGGAGAGGCATCTCGCGACCTCGGGAAGCCGAGATGGAGGTGAGATTTCTGCCTTTCTTCCATCTCTTCGTCGGGGAGTCTTTCAAATGTGTTGCGACGCCAAAAGGATAGCGTGGCGAAAGTTTGTTTGGTGACTCCGATCTTGTTAAACTTTACACCATAGAAAGCGCCCATGTAAACCCATATACTAACCGCTGCAGTTAACACTGGGAGTGACCAAAGAAGCCCAAACATGAGCACCTGAATGGCCCTATTTCCAGTTGGGACAAATTTGTAGGTCATATTGGCATCATCAATATCAATTCGATAGGCCAAATGTGGAGGGGCTGGTAGTAGGGACATGTTGAGCACATTCGGTGCAACCGAATCCGGAGGCTGTCGGTCCATCACACCATCATTGTCGATGTCGCCCATAACGAATCCTGCATCAGGCCTGCCATCCGGATTCAGACCCCACACATTGACTTGAATGGTTGAAGGCCACTCAGTCATCAGATGGAACTTCCATTTGCCATCGTTGTCTTGCCGAAATGAATTATCGAGACCGCTGTCAAAGCCAAATTCGTTAAACGAACCGTGGGCAAACAAATGCGGGAATCGTCTTGAAGGGCCTCTCCAATTTGCGTCTGCGTGTTGAACATGATCGCTGCTTCCAGTTATCCGGTTCCAGTATTGAAGTACGACGTGGTCGCCTTCCCATTTCTGGCGCTTCGTCCCAGACCAAGGCTGCTTAGCCAAGCTAGTGTTGCCGCCTTTGTAGTCCATCCAGTCGCTCCAGCTCGACGCCCAATTCAGTGAGTATCTCCATTTGTTCGCGCCAGATGCTAGATGTGATACGTGCAGGCCATTTGAGTCCTTGTACAGGACTCCGGTAGAGTAGTTTGCAGCTCGAGGGAAGACCATAGGGTTATCCTTATGTCCAACCCTAATCATGAAGCGATCGTTAGAATTTGTGAAACGTACCCCGTCCTCTGTGCTAGCATTACGAACGGTGATCGTATAAATACCATGCGAAACGCTGCGTAACGTGCTTTTCCATGTCCAAGTCGAGACGACACCGCCAACTAGACGGGAGGGATTGGAACTCGAGACGTTGGAACATTGAACAGAATCTTTGTCCAGGGTCGCGGATAGAGGTCCCTCAGTATCGGATGTAATGAGTAGGTTGTCGGCGATCTGATTACAATCCATTGGCTCAGAGAACTGGAATTCGATTTCAACGGCATTTTCAGCACTCAGGGGGAGTTTGGACTCGATCTGAGCGTCGTGCCCTGGAAGGAATTTCGTGATCAACGGTACCGGAGGAAGCCAGCTCTCTTTTGGTACGTAAACCCTGAAGTCCCAGGCCTTCATGTCGAGTTCCTCCACGCAGCCATTGAACTTCTCAGAACCATCAATACCTAGCTTTGTGTCACTGGCACTGAGTTCGACTTCGTCGTAGGGAGCGAGAAGATTCTTCAGAGTTGTGCCCTCATCGAATGCAGAAATCAGTGCGTCATTGGATTTACAGTCGAATTTGTATTTGACATCATGGTCTTCGTTTTGGTAAACCAGCCAAACCATCTGAGTTGTGTTGCTGGTTAAATTCTGGATTCCGGGATATTGATCCCTCATTACACTCCATATGCCGAACTCGGTGGCAGTTCCATTTGATCCTGGGAGTTGGACAAGACGAGTTCGATTTGAGAGTGATTGAAGGAAGTAGCCATCGTTCAGAACCGGGTACTGGGTTCGCCGATAGTACATTGTCTTAATGATGTTGTGGACGGGACTCGAAGGATCTCGGTGGTCCTGGCTTACGGTATCATCGTGGCAGCCATGGAGCGCGGCATCGAGAGGAAAGTCGTGGTACTGTGAGCTACCCAGGCCGTAGCAGCCGTGGTTCTGCCAGCCTAACGCAGACGACATGGGTTGTCTCCCAAAAATATAATTGTCGGCTGTACTGTCTAGTACATAGAAAGATTGTTCCTCGCCCCAGAGCAGGAGCGGGATGCCTGGGATATAAAGCGTTGTGACAAAGAGACCGAGCAACATTCTCTCGGTACCATGGCTGATAGCAGGCCACCTGAAAACATCCTAGTATAATCAGCACGATACAAAAATGATAGAGTTCCACAAGCCTTTACCTGATTCGTTACGCCATACATATGTCTTGGATCAAACTCTCCCGTTTCAGCATTGATCATGTCATTCGTGGTGAGCATGGTGTTCCAAGCATCTACGAAGTTTATTGGGACATCGTAGCCAGCAGCTAGATTTCCACTCATTCCTAGGAACCGCGTGAGTGATCGGTAGATGCTATAGTGGAAGGCTGCCCCGTCGAGCGCATTCTTGCCCGGAGCCCGAAGGAACCACTTGTCATCGGAACTGTTCGTCAGTGAGATAGCTAGCGTCATATTCTTAGGGGCCTGATCAGGCTGTCTCCCTCGTCCAATATAAATGGAACCAAAAGAGTTTCCCCCAGTGATCTCACCGGGCATGAAGAAGTTGTTTTTGCCATACTTCCGAGCGCATTGCCGCATGTAGTCTCCGAATTCGGCTTGGGCATCTACAGTGACTTGTGTGGCCTTGTCAAAACGGAAACCATCGATATCAAGCATTGCTATCGTCATGCACGAGAAGTGTTGGAGCTTCTCTCGTACTGAAGGAACCCATTCTCGTAAGCGGTCTTGGACGGAGGCGAATTTTGAGAGCTGGCGCTGCCAATCAGGGAAGACGCCGAACGCTTCTGTATCGCCATACTGTGGTAATTAAGCTATCAGCACAGGGAATATAGAATGCTGGTATCGACACTGGAAGAGTAGACAGGAAGGAATTGAACTGCCAATCTTCTCAATAGAAGATACGATGTGCCGTCATGCGTGATGAAGGAGAGGCTGTGACGAACCTGATCAAATTCGCTATCATAGCATCCAGCCAGCTCTTTAAAAATTGGGCTGGATTCTTTCAACACCGGGAGTCCAGACTCATTCCAAAATCGAGGATATTCGCATTTATCTTTATAGGTGTTCCCGAACGAGAAGTCGTGATACTGTCGGTCGCTTTTCCACGACACCTTATGTTCCTCTGGCCGAAAGGGTGCCGTGGAATTGAGGAAGCCGTTGAAGCCTATCAAATCACCCATGCTGCGAGAGAGGTATTAGCTATCGAGAGAGTGTGCCTAGGGAAACACTTACGTTGACATCGTATTGTCGAGAATGACATACATGCCCCGCTTGTGGATTTCGTTCACTGCGGCTCGCCATGCAGTAATATCCCCAAAATGCTTATCAAGGAGGGTTAGATCCAACGGCTGTCTTACTGTTAGCGAGTATTCGAATGGTAGAAACGGTGGTGCAAATTTACCGAGTACGCATTGGCTTTCCAAGCGTCGTTTATGAATGGTGAACCGGCGATGTAGACACCCTAATCAAATCAACCTAGCACCTTCGGTCGGCAATATGACTCTACCTTTACACCTAGCCCCTGAATGTAATCGAGACTGTCGACCAAGCCTGCCAAATCACCCCCATGTCGAAGCTGATTGCTTTGCGGATCACGTTCGAATACCGTACCGTTGATATCATCATTCGTTGGGTCTCCATTGACGAACCGGTCCAAGAACAAAGTGTAGAATGGAAACCTCCAGTTAGATGGTGACGGGTGGAAATCATGACCCTTCCATTCTCCCCAGTATTCTAAAGGTGCGGTAGCTGATTGATTCTCGTTGAGATTGTAGCCAAGATACGCCTTGTCGAATCTCAAGCATGAGACAAGGGATGCGAAGACAAAGTGAACTAAAAGAGAAAGAAACATGTTAGAAAAGATGATGGCAAGAATGAGCGATGTTCGAGCACGATAAAGGTGGGAAACGAGTCCCAAGGAGCTTTTGAACAACACTTGTACTAAAGGGAATGTGCATAGACCGAAATATCACATCTTCAGCCTGCGAGCGGGCAACATTTATGATGCCTAAAAGTCACAGGGTGTTGTTGCTTGCAAATGGTGAATCATGACGCAACAGCGAGTAGAGGCTATGTTCCTGCACAGCACCCTAGTGCTTAGGTGCTTTGATGCACACCTCCTCTCCGTCTCGAACGCCGGACTGTAGGCTCAGCCCTATGAAGCTGGGATAGAATGGCCACCATCTCAGAATCAGGTAGGCTGTATGTACGCCACTCAGCGGCGAAATGGGATACTCACCGACGCGGTCGGGAGAAAGTAGGCGAACGTGGTTGATGCCTGCAAAGACGTTTGCCTGCACATATTGAGCAGTTGTATACGTCAGATATTCAGTAAGGTTGACCAAGCAGTGCCAAGCGTATTTGGGGAAAATTCTCGACTCTGATACGTTGGAGCTCCATAGCCAGTCAACTGGCACAGAAATACGCTCAGAGATAGGCTTTGAGATAGGCTTACGGGTAACGTTACGGTGGCAGCATGACTGCGGTCCAGCCCTAGCCTAGGCCCTGGGCCATCGTTCTGAGATAGAGTGTCTCGAGACTGGAGTAGGATGGAATTTTGTGCGACCACCTCGACAGTCGGAAAGGCCGCGAACCGCGGTGAATGCCCCCATGAGGGAGACACCGCCTTTACATCCTGGTTCTCATTCCACTTCGTCGGGCTCTTGCGCGGTTGAAGTGTCGCATCAGCTAACGGGTCTCTCTGCAGAGCGGTTGATCCTTGTTGAAGTGCTGACGAACGTTCATGGTGTTCATCTTGAGGCGAACGAAGAAAATTTAGCATTCATCTGCATCTATCATTTGGAATACGCCTTTTGAAGTTTGTGCTATGGCGTTGATCTCGATGAGATAATTAGGGACCGCCGACCGGCCGAGGCTGATAAATCAGTCTGGAGGGCTGAGAACATCGGCATTTTAGTTCTTTTCCAAGGTTAGTAGTGCGCATCATGAGTGCATTGCCCAGAGTTGTATGACTGATACAAGACGGCTGGGTAGCAGACGATAAGGGCGATATGCACTCGCTGTTGTTTTGTGCGGCTGAAGGAGGGTAAGACTGCCAAGTGGTGAGTTGCGGTCTGGGGCACGGTCCAGCGCTACCAGCACGCATGGACCAAAGAGGCGAATAGAAGTCGCAGCATTTTCCCGAGGGCTTGATGGGATGGACGACTTTTGATAAAGCTTTTCTATTAACATATTTGTGAGCCTGTTTTCGCCCATGTATGCACCGGATTCTATCTCCTAACGTGGACCATGACAGAGGATATATCGGCCGGAATTTTGCACCTGTGTTCTTGAGAGACTCTCCCTATTTCCCAGCTGAGGTTCAATAGATGGAGTCTGCCATAATGGTCTTTCGTTTTACGGGATAGCACGATGTAGAGATACATACACCACGCGTGGCTCCGGGGGTATCTCTGATCAATGTTACATGTTTCAGTCCTCTATTGTCACTTCCTCCCCTCAGATTCCCTATACTCTCCCCTACTATTAACGACCACCGCCTACCAGGCATTCACCACCGCTGCACCTGCCAAAGCCAACAAAGCGCCACCCTCAACTCCAAACCTATACGCTGCACCAGTACTCGACGCGCTCGCTGCACTCCCCGTTGCGCTCCCACTCGCAGTTGCACTCGCACCTGAAGCCGTAGGCGACTTTGCAGCAGAAGCCGACCCACTCGTTCCAATACTCGTCACCATGTCCGAGCTCTGCGCGCCACTCGCCGTCGCACTCAATTTCTCTGCCCCCGCCGTAACCGTCGCGGTCAAAAACCCAATTTCAGATCCACTAAATGTCTCAGTGGTCGTACCAGGATCATTCGCACCCTCGCCTCCATTCGACACAAAACAAGGCATTTCGCTCTTCTGGAGGTTGTGCTCACAGCTAACGCTCATGGTAAAGTCGGATTCTGACATCACGGCTTCATAGATGGTGGTTGAGATGATGGAGAAGGCAAGGCCGGGGCCGAAACCGCAGTCAGAGCTGTCGACGTTGGTCGGGCAACTAAGGTGGAGGATGGTGGTGGATGGGTTGGCAGTAACGACGGAGGCGAGGAGATCGGAGCCTTCAGCGCCGGGGACGAACCATTCGATGGTTTGGTTTTGGGCCGCGGTGAGGCCGGTGAGGATGGTGATCAAGGCCGCGGTGCGAAGCATAATGATGGGTTTTTGATAAGTAGGTGGACGTTGAGTATTATTTGGAATTGTATTAAAAGAAGGACGAAAGTATGTGAAACGAATCCCCAAAAGAGCGTGGCGAAGCTATACAACAAAGCAAAAGCGACAGTCTGACGCGAAGAGGTGTGAAGGAGGCGTCTAGGGAAGTTTGTGACTTAAAACGCCCCCTTTCAAAGCTTGTTTCGCGGCTGCTGCACCCCGGACGAGCGCGGATGTGCACTTGACCAGGGGTTCCGAGCGTTCCGACCATGCTGATCCTCCAGCTTACCTTAAACAGTGAAATAAGCGATATGAGATCACAATGTCGCCGCTGTTCGCGTTTCGATTAAGGATTGAGAAAAGAGGCTCTCGAAGACTGACTAGTGGTGTAATGAGAAATAATCCACAGCTGGTTGGCCCAGACACATTTTGCACAATCACACTTCAGATCTCCCCCGAAGTTACCCTACAACTCGGCATGAATGAAATGATCGCCCTCGAATAAGACTTGTCTCAACACTATATTTCGCGAATACATAGCCGCTCCATGCCCTATTACTAGAGATAGGTCGATAGCATCCAAGACTCTAGCCGGATCGTTACCCGCCGCATCAAGCGCAAGGTCTTGAAGTTCGGTTATGGCTTTTTTGACGCTTCACCGGTGACTACGATTGCCCTAATATATACCCTGTATCTTGGACCAGTTCGGCCACTTATCGCATCCTCGAGGAAATCTTTCAAGAAGCCGTGTACATTTGGATCGTAGGCACCAGCCTCAATGGTGTACCATCAAATTATCAGCTAGGGGGCTTGTTTTACGAGGTGCAAGCCAATAGAGCACTCACATCTCGTAGCTGTCTTCTCACTCTCGTCTCCAAACTCTCTGGCCACCTTATCCTAAATGCTTGGGAACACTTGCCATTCCAATTCAACCTCGACGAGATTGAGTGGAGATATTGACGCTCATATTCAACCACAAGAACATGATTCTCAGGAGGATCTTCCCCAAAGCATTCCACAGGCAGCGGCCGAGATTCTCGCAACGTTCCAAACCATACGCAAAACACGCGCCATTAGTGACATCTCTGAGTTTTATAGACCTACCACCCTTGGTTGCCCTCCCATCTGGAAATAAGGCATCGCACACCGCACCAGTAGAGGAGTCGTTGAACAGGGTTGGCGGGCGCATACAGATGAGAGTGAACAGAAGAAGAGGAATACTACGGAGATGATGAGCCGAGCAGGCATGCTCGTCATGGGTGGAATATTAGAGAAAGTCCAAGCTGTCTTGCTTTATACCTCAGTGACTTGTCTTGAAAAGATGGCTGTGAGATTGTTGAATTGTCTAAGTGTGTGAATCCGGGGCAAAATGTGGCATCACTGTCGCAGGCTTATCGAACACATCAAATATTCTCTACCACTAAGAGCAGCGAACCCCCCCGAATGTAGATGGCAGGTTCGGGGGATGTGCTATCATCTTATTAAGACCATTCGCTTCCTCGGCAAAGATACCTTGAATCGAGGTAAGTGATGCACGCTATGCTCTACCTCTAGCTACTCCTGGAACCCTCCTGAAAGCTTCGAACCTTCTAGGGGTAAGAGTTACCAATACCCATGACAAGTATGCAAGACCCCACAACTCTTGGCCAATTTTCGACGGGTCGAAGGGGGACAAAAGAGAAGTGGAGGGGAGAGGAAGTGAATCGGACCGACGATTTCAGGTTATAGATGAAGACGCGGCTTCGGAGCTAGCTGCAGGGAAAGGTTGAGAGAGATAGACCGTTAGTCGTGATAATGGGATGCATTGGCAAGCAGTTAGGAGTAGAGTCTGGAGCTGAAGTGTGACTCCCTAGGCTTAGGTAGGTTGGAGACTCCAGATGCATCACGCCTGAGTTACATCACGCCTTGGCCAAAGGGCCTCATCGAAAATCTTGATTGGTTGAGTTAAGGTAAGTAGTACATAGTGAGTTTTGTGGCCAGTTTGTGTGCAGAGCGGGGAAACATGTTGATGTGTGGGGCTGCAGCGCTGGCGACTCTGTACTCTCTGAATTCAGAGCGCCAATAACACCTCATCGGCTTCATTTCCCCTCTCCGATATTTCTAGTCTACAAATTTAACCCTCTCATGAGAAACCAAGTGACTCGCAATAGAAAACTGGAGGTGTTTTGAAATCTGCCTTCTGTTAATCTAGATCTGGTGACCCCAGAGCAAGGATGCAGATCCATCAATAATGCTCAGCCTCAAGTGAGCAACTCGAGACAAGAAAAATCCAACACCACCTCCACCACGCTCCTAGCTACAAGTCTCCCTTTCCCTCCCATATCGCACAAAGATCGCAACTTCAACTATGGTCGCTATAGCGTTTCCCTTCTTCACATCGCGCTCCATACCACTGGCCCTTAGCATTATCCACGAAAGCCAGCTTATTCTAGCTGCTCTATGTCTCATCACAGTCCTCTTCTGCCTCCTCCACCCGCTCTACCGCTCCGCATTCGTCTTCGCCCTACTCTGGGGATGGATCCTGTCCTCCATCACAACCGCAATCATTCTTTATGCAGAACATAGTTCTGCTGCCAGGGGCACTCTCAACAAAGCACGATACGCGCAGCTTCAACTCTACAAAATGGGGGCAGCCACAGTGTGTTACTTAATCGGCTACATCATACTGGCTAGTACACCCCAACCCGGAATGGTCACGGACGGGGTGAGCGGGTATATGAGGGAATTCCTAGGTGGTGGACATATGGATCACGCGTTTCTCCTCTGCACACATCTGGTGAACTGGTAAGTTCTTTCTCTCTCAACACTCATTCACTTGGGCATCTGGGTCGATCGCAGGCTTACCCGGCGCACAAAGGTTATTTCTCTGGGTGGGATTCATCTATTCCCGCGTCATGCGTGAAGGTGCTCCTATTCGGTTTAATGAAGATAGGCCGATTAGGTTAGGATAGTCAGCTTGATGAAACGACTGATGATTAAGCCCTTGCGAGAGCCCTCCAGGCCCCGGAACCGGAATGGGAGGGCTGAAGATGATCAGAGTACTCCGCGCAAATTTTTTAAGCGGAAACTGGTACGGCCTTGGAAATTATCCTTAGTAGTCGCCCTATGCGTTAGGGAAATTACCAAAACTTGAAAAGTCATTGGGCTAATCATCCAGGTAGTTGAAGGAAAGTTCCTTAGTCGTTTCATCGTCTTTTCGTTGCTTCCTACATCCTCCTCGCCACCTCAAGCAAATCAATCAAAATATTCAGCCACCTTGTTCATTAAATCCACCCTTCATACCGGCCTACCCACAAAGTGTTTTGAAACAAGTGCTCTTGCAAGGTCATCCCTGCCATACACCACTCCCCTCTTTAACAGTCCCTTCATAATAGCAGGCCAAAAAACTGGAAAGAATAAGGTCGTACTTCGTGCACGATTCATTAAGAATTATGGCTACATTCTTCATACATACAAGGTTGCACACCCGGACGGGTATCACTATACACAAAAAATGCTCCAATCCATCTCCCTTACCCTCTCAGAGGATAAATCCCCACTCGTCACAACGGCACACTTACAAAAGATAAGCAACAAGGCCCATCAAACCCGCAACACCCGCGGGCACTTTAATAGCGCTGGCGGCGCCGGTGAACAGAGGTGGTGATGTGTACGAGCCAGTGCCGGTAGGAGCTACGTAGGAGGAACCAGTTCCAGTCGGGGAGGATGGGTACGGAGCAGGACCGGTCGGGTAAGGAGCAGTTGGGGCAGGGATGGATGAATGCTTAGGCTTGCCAAGGGTGACGGTGGTGGTGATGGTGACGACGGCGCAAGAGTCGGCAGAGGCGGTTGGGTAGGTATCAATGGCTGAGGTAGTGGCAACGGGAGCTGGAGAAGTGTTAACGTCAATCCTTTCTTTCACATGATTGTTTACTAACCAGACGAGACAGGGGCGCTGGATTCAACTACTTGTGCTGACGTAGCTGGAGCAGCCGAGCTTGCAGGCGGCGTAGAGACATTGATAGGCACACCCGCAGCTGCGCAGATGCCTCCAAGGACAGTGATGACCTTCGCTTCATCAGCCGCGCTGCACGCAGACTGGACACACGGCGTGATAGCGGGTGTCAGCTGATCAGCCTTGCCGCAGGCACACTTGAAGTCGGTGATGCTGCATCCTACACCTTGCACACCAGTGGCAACACAGGCGAGCGCACACGATGGGATGTCTGAAATGCCTTGGGCGGAGACGGCGGCCGCGAGGGCGAGGATGGCCGTTGTGTACTTCATTTTGAAAGGGGTGTTGGAGTAGGATTAAGTATGTATGGGGATAGATGTAGTAAGAATAGCTGAAAGAATGTGGATGCTCGATGAAGCTGTGTTGGAAAGAGTGGATACAGTATGGAACGACTGTGTACGATCACTTGATGGATGTCAGGATGAAGAAGACAGAAAGAAACGAAAGAATACCACCTCCCGCCTGTTTATATTCCATCTTGTCCCTCTCTGTGCACTGTGCTGTGCCGTCTCCCAAAGCTCGCGTCCCACCGGCTCATTTCCCTCTCCACCCCTCACCCCCAGCATCGTCTTTATGCCAATACCCGGCCAGCCTCGCCGTCCGTCGCGACCACCGTCGGAAATTGCCATCCTATTACAGGCACGATTGCCGCTTCCATAAGAAGTCGTGCAGCAGGTCCCGCCAATCATGGCGATCCGTGCCACGATGCAAGTCTAAGTGGTCGGCTCGGAGGGTAGCTGTTTGGGTGCAGTGTGCAGAGAGCCTTGTTTGTGACCCTGGTTACCGTGACAAAGAACATGTGGTTTGGACCGCTGAGTAAATTAAGGTACAGGTCTGATTGGACGGGGTGCAAATGACGCTGGGTGTATCTGGGTTTGGGAGGATATCATGGCTGGCGATGTGCAATATCTGCGAAACGGTGCACGCCTCGCGCTCCTCATAATTCTAATCTCTTCGTCTAATGCTTGCGAAGTCGAATGCATGAATTACACTCTTCTAACCGTCGACCTGAAGATTTTCTTTAAAATCTGTTTCACAAGGCTTGTGAAATCGTGGCAGCGGGAAACTGTGAAAATTTGAGGAAAAGGGGGTCCCTGCATGCCATCATCTCGTTCAGGAATAGCGCATTCTGGAGAACCCCTGCAAATTACCCTTTTCCGCCTCCACATTCTGAAGCTTCGCCGTAGATCGCGTGTTGCCAAGATCTTCGATGGGCGCATCATAACGGCTCGATGCGCAATGCGACGGCGGCTTCGGCGAAGCCTTTATAGAGAAGATGGAGATTGAGGTCGAGGTTGGGCTGAGGCGGTGAGATGATGATAAACCTTATGAAGAGTAACGTTAGACGAGAGGGAGGGTGAACAGGAGTTTCGGTCGACTCCGTGCTCAATTTTGCGCTTTGTTTAGTTGTCGGCGAACGAGTGGTTCTCCGCAAAGTCGCGTTTAGGCTCCTTGGCCGCACGGTTGGATCTCGGCGCCCAACTTTCTTGACAAGATGAATTTGAGAAAAATATCCAGCGCTAACGTCTAAAAGACCTAATTGGCTTTCCATGATGCATATTAAAAAGGAGTTGATGGGCGTCTGAAACTGATGCATGTGAAAATTAGATTGCCAAGACCCGTGGACCTTTCCCTCCAGTTACCATAAACCTTTCTCCGACGTCGTCTCTTACCTCAATCCCAATCCTCCCGTGTGTCTTTCAGTTCAGGGCTGTCGGTTTTTCTCAGCAAATTAGAGCAATATGCCTCCAGTGCGCCATAGCCTATCTCATGTCTGCGAGGAACTATGTCCGAAGAGGGGCAAACAAACATAGTGCTCCACTCCTTCCTCCCCTGGAATTCGACATTTATTTATCAGGGTTCCAAATCACGACTATATCATTCTTCTTATCTTTCATCTGTGTTAGCCTTCCATGCTATGGCATGAGTTTTCGTCCTTCACATACTAGTCACCTTCGCTAGTATAGAACCAAAATCCACCATAGCCAAACTGCAGATGCCAGCTCGAGCCAGACAAACGCAAACACCACCTACTCGACTTCTGGTACATATGCGCTCACCACGAGTAACAGGAATACAAAAAAGTCCGAGGGAGAGCAAGTTCAGCACGAACAGCCCCAAGCTTAACAAGATGATCTGGTGTAGCAACCAATTCTTGATCCACACGTCCGAAATCAATATTGATGTAATTTCACTAGAACCAAGTGCCAGGGTGAAAAATTACCAAACGATCGAGACGAAGAGGTGTACTTTGTCTTTGGAGAACGAGTATTGTGGGGGCTCAGAAATGTTCGAGAGAAGAACATTGAACGTGACCTGACCGCTAAATAGAGCAATAGCGAGCGTAGTCTTAAGACGCCCATCTAGCCATTTCATGAAACGCACGGGACCTTCAACAGCGGAGGGCGGGCTTGCTGGCTCTGGGATAGTAGTTCTGGGGACTGATGCCCCATGCATTTCATTGTGTCAGTCAACGTTTCTAGTCTGAAGACCCGATGCCGATACGTACCTGCGCGGGATAGCTTTGATAGGATTATCCTATTCAGATATGATGGAGATTTGTGAGGGAAGAAGAAAGATTGCAATCGCAAAGTACAGACAATGATCGTTTCACTCACAAGTTTTCAGTTCTCCTAAACTGTGGTCAAAACAGTGTCCCGCTTTTTCTCGGAGACTGAAAAAATCTAGGAGACTACTGAACCCTGACATCCGTGATAGCGAGCACACAGCTAGACTTCTTATATTAGCCGTGGTCCTTGTGCTGGCTTGAAGCTAGTTCTCTTCCATGTTGGTTGGTCCTGAGACAAGCCACATGCAGTACTTATCTCTGAGATTTTATTTTGGCTTGCTGATGGAACGAGCTTAGTAATCCTGGTGTGGGATTTTCAGGAGTCAGCGGTTGCGACAAGTCAGCAGGCAGCGGAACTCCCCTGATTGGGATGCCGGATATGTGGGGAAGCCTCCACCTGGGATACAACAGCGGGGCAGGCTCAACCTATAACCTCACTAACGCCAAGTCGAGCGAGCGATTCAACACTTTGTTGCCTTAGAATTTCGTCTACAAAATGAGGTGAGACTCCTTTCTTCCTTTATCCTATGGGTGTGTGGTTCACAGCCTGATGCCACACTAAGAACTACTGAGACCTATGCTATTAATGGACTACGGGGCTTTCAAAAAGCTCAGGCGTTGTGGAGGAAAGATATTCGAAATGATCTACAGGCTCGAGGTTAGTTCGCAAATTGATGCGATGTCTCCCTAACCGAACCAAACACTTCTCAAAACGATCCTTTACCATATACGACCCCTATTATCAACACTAAAGCTAATCCCTTCAAAACACGACTAAGAAGCCAGCTTGCATCCTACCCCCCCAGTTGTAGCTACTAATCGCTCCGCTGATGGAAATACGTAGATCAAAAGAGCTTTGTCCCAACACCGCCCACAAACTGTATGGTGTTCTCCGTTTGCAAAGGTTTTACCATAGTCCAACTCACGTGGTGCTGCACACTTACAGACTCCGTTAATTTCAAAGTGTGTGGCAACGTAGTCTTTTCCTTAACGCATTCTTTGAGATAGCACTACAATCCTGATCTAGTGGCTGCGAAACCGTGTCCGCAACATGCATCTACAAAGTTTTCAGTCGTAGATACCATTCAGGTTATAACAAGGAGAGCAGAATAAACGCTTCTTTGTCTCTACCATATGGCTGAATGGTAGCAGGATTCCCTCTCTGTAGTAGGCTGGACTAGAATAGATTAACGCCCATTAACCCAGATCCCCATCTACGAATTCGTGTAAGTACTGCTAGAGGCTTTCCCCTTGGCCGGTTTCTTCAACTCCTCCAAGGTTTGGGCGATCAATTCAAGCATGGTCGAGGTTATTACAGCCATAGAGTTCAGTGGGATGAATCCATCACTCACGAACCGCGCTTCCATTGTCCGCTAGCCAGATTTATCGAAGCAATAGATCCAGAAACACATATCCGAAGGAAAACCCCACTTTCGAATGTGAATGTCGAAGACCTGGCAAAACTATATTCTAGTACGCCACATGTAAACGGAATTCATCACATGCCTCTCCGGGGCACTTTTCGTAGGCACGCGACTCAATTGGCGGACCGTTAGCTCGGTGTCACGGAGTCTCAGTCAGCTGTGCTTTGGTTCGAGGCTTCTGATGAAATATTTCCCGAATTAAGAGCCCGGTCTCAGGGTACTTCGCTCTCTTAGCGAATATATTATCTCGATGATCTGGGTTCAGAATCTCTACTTGAGCTGCTTTATACGTCAGCTCCAGAAAAGTAAACCTTCAGAACCTATCCCTTCTACTACTTTCTTCAGAAGGTCGCACTGCTACAGAGTTGTTAACAAACAGTTTTCATCTAGACCGTAACCTGTTGTACCATTTTCATATCTTACAAACCAGTAACTCTTCCTATAGATAGAGAGCTTACCCCGATGCGTCGACCAGACCAAGGGCAATATTGGGTGGAGTGTAGATCTGAAGGGCTCTCTTATAACAGGAGACGATGCGTTCATCTTCGTTTTATTTGCTCAAAGTTCCGGGGACAGCGCATCTCCTCCAGTTAGTGCCAAACGAAGACTAAAGTTATTATCCTTAAATATTTTCTAGAGTCGCTCCGTCTTGACCATGCCACCTCCACTGTGTTTCTTGAAAAGTGGCTGTAGGATGCCTGTGATTTCCTATCACGCTAAAGTGGTATCGAGAGGAGATAGAGCCTTAGAGTAGCCATATAGAAATCTTCTGAATTCTTTAACTCTCTCTCTCTGCTGCCTTACATGCCAACTAGCCAACATCATCGTGTCCTAAACAGTACTGCAACAGTTTAAAGCCTTACCCACTCGGCTAAATTCATCCTCGTGCAAGTCGCGCAAACGAAGTAACACAACACCTAAATCTACACAGCCTCAGACCACTTGAGCCATACTACCCACAGCCCAGGGTGACCTTTAGCAACCTTACATAAACCACAATTTCAGGAGGGGAGGCGAGAGGAGAGGACTGAGTTCCTGAAAATCGGGGGACAATTTGTTGAGCCATGGCTACAGGCATAGCACAGTCCAGAAAGTCCCGACTACTGTCCTCGTCCCGCACTTTAAACCGCTCTCGACCATTTGTGTACGGCTGATGCCGTATTAAAGGACGGTCCGGAGCGGGTATGCGCTGGCGCCTCATGTATATCGTCGGCCATTGAGGATGTAGCATTCTTTCACGTTCCACCCACATCTACATACGAAAATGGCAGTGGAACGTGTGGATTCCACGAACGATCAACTTTAGAAGATATTCTCGTATCAATGTCTTAGAGGTGCAGCCATCAGCTCACTTTCTTCCGAATGAGTTGCACAAAGCGGAACTTCCTCTCTCATGGACTTGAACCGCGTATCACAAGATGAGGGGTTGTGGACATTGACATGTAGTATAGTGAGGAGTTTATAGCAGAGAGAGTATATATAAACCCCTAGGTGTTCTGGCGAACGGTTTGAATTCTGCATCTTCTCTCTGCTTTCTTATATACCTTGTCTGTAGACAAATTTTGCTCCAGGTCAGCAAATCCTTCGCACCATGTCCTCAGTCAAGAATGAGCAGGTGTCGAAGCTTTTGGCTAGCGCCATCAATGATTGGCAATCTAGAGTTCCAAGCGGATGGACTTCATTCTACTCGACCTATGAAGCCCTGCACAAGAACCCAGGTGTTTCTGGGCAGGAAGATTTCGCGGCTTGCCAGATTTCATCTACACTATCGAAGATCAAAATAAACCTGGAAACTGGGCGGAATAAATTCAACGGAGCCTTCGACATATTTCAGGACTTTGGCAAGGATGAGACCGAAGCCCACCTGTGTGGTCCCAGTGTAGTCGGAGTGATGAGAAACTGGGGCCAGTCTACCTTGAAAGCGAGAAACCCGGAACCAATCATTCTCCTCCGAGCTGATACCGATGCGCTCCCAGTGCAAGAGAATACCGGGTATGCTACGATATTTGATAAGGTCTACTAGACTGATGGTGTACACAGGGCACCGTATCATTCTGTTCACGACGGGGTGATGCATGCATGCGGTCACGATATGCATATCACCACTTTGCTTGCAGCTGTAAGGCTACTTGCCGATATCAGAGACCACTGGACTGGCACTTTGATAGCATGCTTCCAGCCTTGTGAAGAAACTGGGACGGGAGCCCAAGCCATGGTGGACGGGGGTCTATATGCAGACCCAGACAAAGTCCCAACGTGAGTGCTCATTGATCTATTGAGTGGTAAAATAGCCAACTTTATCATTAGTCCGCAGTTCGTCTTTGGCGGACACATCTCTCCCGAGCTAGCTGGAACCGTTTCCCTGACGCATGGGACCGCATACGCTCGGTCCGACAGCTGGAAGGCAACTTTTAAAGGTAGAGGTGGACATGCCTCGCGACCAGAAGCCTGCATCGATCCGGTCGTCATGGCTGCATTCGCCATTACGAGACTCCAAACGGTGGTATCTCGTGTGGTCCCTTCAACCTCCCTGGGAGTACTTACGGTCGGAGAAATACATGCCGGAAAGAAGAGCAACATTATTCCAAATGATGCTTACATCACCATCAACATGCGCGCAGACTCGGACGATCTCGCTGGGAAAATGGAGGCTGAGATGAAAAACATCATCGAAGCGGAAGTCAAAGCGTCGATTCCGGAATATCGTGAGATTGAGGATAATCCAACCCCCCCCAATCCTGAGTTTGAGCGCTTGCTTTACGCCCCCCTCCTCGAAAACAAAGAACCCACCGCCACAGATATTGCGTCGGTATTTCAATCCGTGTTTGGCGAAGATTTCAACGGCTTTGCCTCCATAGTTCCTAGCTCTGAAGATTTTCAGGTGCTTGCGTTATGCAATGACAAGACCAAGGAAATCCCATACTGCTATTGGCGATACGGTGGGACGTCTTTAGAAAAGTGGGAAGAGGCTGGTGGAGACGTTAACTTGGTCCCGAGCAATCACAGTGATAATTTCCTTCCACAGAACGATCCCGAGGCCGACAATGATCCACTGAAGTCTGGTACGAAGGCGATGTGCGCTGCAGCATTGAGCAAGTTCAACTTAGTCGGGCTGGAGAATATTGAGATTTCCAGTACTGTTTGAGTGGTACCCACTTTCGTGCTCCAGCAGATGCGTCTCGGTCTCGTCACCTTAACCCTAAGGGATATGTTTGCAGTCACGGAGTTCTCTAAGCTCCACCACTGCTGCCTACCTTCCTTATATGCTGCCTGCCTTATTACCGTGCTATTTCCCTCACTCCTCTACATAAATAGACCCTTAGGTACACTCTTTTAGCAATCAACCGAGCTAGTTCCTCATGACCTTGGCGACCCCAAATCTTCACAGAATACGACTGCGGTGTTTCGGTCTTTTGCAATTTGATGTCAAGGCCAGTGGAGGCGAAAGTATATGAATGCTAATATCATAGGTTCAGGGCGGGTGTCTAATAGAATAGTGCAGAAAAGTTCAAACATTTCTGCGAAAGTGCAGGTGGTTGTAGTGGCGCTGCGCGCAGTCTGGTCCGGATCCACATTGACCCCGGCTAGTGCCGCGGAAGCTATCCGTCATTTGTCTTCTTGAGGCTTGGGTGCCTGCCACATCAAGAGCCCCTGAAAAGTGCTCTTGATGATGCCTCGAGATGCTATCACCCATCCATAGTATTGACAGAGGAACGAGTTGTGGATGGGTGGCCAAGGAATTCCTCGGCACAAAATTAGTGCCTAATCCAATTCAACGGCGCCTGGTTGGTGCCAAAGAGACTCTAGGTATCAAACGAGGAAGCCAGTGGTCTAATTAAGGTTACAAGTGGCGCGGAAATTCTGAAGTTTAAAGTGTGACACGACTCTAACCCTGCTTGAACAGGACCGCCATCCCAAGCATATTCTAACCCCTTTACAGACGTGGCCGCGCAGCCTCAAGATCCGCAGCTACTCCACCATATCTTTGGTATGCATCTGATTCGGCATCGAAATTAAGCAACCAAGCCTCCCTTGTTAAGTGAATCGCTTCCGGTGTCTTCTGAACCTCATCCCAGTTCGCTTTATGCCACTTTTCTCTCGTCTTCGGACCCATCGCTTGAGCATCGTGTACCCTTGTATATCGAATCTTCTCGAACGCGTTTACTGCTAATGGTACTTTGTTCTTTCCTGCTAGTTCTAAACAGGCTGCCAGCACCACACCATCCTCAATTGACTGACTGGCGCCTTGAATCGAAGTAGGCAGGAAGGGGTGTGCAGCGTCCCCAATCAAGGCAATTCTCGCCTTCGGCGAAATGAAGGTTGGTAGTGGCTCCCGGTAAACCAACTTGTGGTCAATAAGCCGTGCATCCTTCGGAGTCGACTTGACGATTTCCACAACAATCGGTGCCCACCCTTCGACGTACTTCAAACAATCTTCCACCTTGCCAGGAAACTGCCAGCTCTCTTCGATATTCCCATCATCCACATGTGTAAACACCCAATTGAACTCACTCCCATTCTTCAAAGACGACGCCAGGAAATGCAAATCCGGGCCAATCCACCCAGAATGCGTGTCCCCATTCACAACCAAATGCTTCAACATCTCATTCCCCGCAATCGCCTCTCCAGGGAACCACGCACGATATACCGCATATCCTGAGCTTTTCGGTCGATCTTCAAAACCTAGTACAATCTTCCTGCCTCTTGACCGCACGCCCTCGGCCGCAATAACTACATCCGCGTACATCTTCTCGCCATCCACAACTACTCCGGCTTTATCATCGTCTTCGAAATAATCCGTAACCCTCTTCCCAAGCCGGATATCGATTGTCCCGCGGTCAACCGCATGACCCCAGATAATCCCGTGCAACTCCCCCCGATGTCCATTAATCCTCGGACCCCACTTCCTTTCATCTGCGAACGACTGTCTAGTTACAAAATCGCCTTTCCAGTGGTACAGATCCAGCCACGAGGTTTGCCGGGCGACTTTCTGCATGGCTTCAATGACGCCAGGCCAGCGTTCGAAGTTCCGCGCGCCGTTTGGGTCGAAGGATATAATATCGCCAAACCGGGTTAATTCTTCAATGGACTCAGCTTTGTCGAAAAGAGTGACAGAGTGCCCTTTGCGATCGCATTCGATGGCCGCGGAGAGACCGGCGAATCCGGCACCTACGATGATGACTTTGATGCCCGAGGCAGGACGACGGTGAAAGCTCGCCATGGTCAGTCAATCCTTGATGTGGTGTTCACGACTTTTGAAAATTTCTGGTCAGCGGAGTTTGTCGGAGTTTGACGGCGTTCCTCGAAAGTATGTGCGACGCTGACACTCAGTGACCAGGGTTACACCGTCTCTCGTACTTTGATTGTGCGGTCGGCTAAATATGTATGGGATTCTCAGACATGGCCCCACATTCTTTGGTTCCCACGTGTTTCGGCATTATATTTCGGTCGCGGTATTTGAGTGCTGTTGGAGCTGAGGTGGGAGGAGAGAAAAAAGAAATCATCTTTGTAACATTTCTGTTTTTGGCGACCTGCATGCAAACAGCGATGAAACACCCACATGTGCAGCGGGGTGAGTTGGTGGACCCCAGAACCGGTATCGGAGAGGTGGTCTGAGATCTACAGATTCGGCCAGTACGAACACCGGCATAGCGCATCCTGAGAAAACCTTAAGCCCATTTGCCCAGCAAACCCATCACCATCACTCCCGTAACAAAAGCAGTCATGGAAATCATCATCCTCACAAGGGAAGAATTAGCAGAGAACCATACTTCCAGTCTCTCACCAACATCTCTACGATGCCAACCCAAGCTAGAATCCCGGCACTGAGAGCATTCAAAGTCCCGATAGCAACAAGTATAGACGGGTTATTCCCATTAGGGTTGTTAAGAACGCCAATTCCAATGGCCGTTCCAACCGGCGAGATGATTGTGAAAGTAGCTGCCATCATCACCTTCTTTAGGAACGCGACATTCAAAGATAGGAGGCGCGCGGTGCATGTTCCGATAGTAGCGCTTTCGAGTATTTGGCGGAAGAATATGACAGCGAACAGGGCTAGGAAGGAGTCATTAGCAACCACAAGCGCGAGTCTGACCCCCAGGCTTGTGAATTAGCAATCTGTCCGTGAAACTAAATGCAGTCTCTTATCATCTTACGTTGAGCACGACAGGAGCTAGCTTAGGACAGGAACTTGCATCCTGTGGACGCTCTATCTGATTCTGGTAAGAAGTTCAATAGGTGGGCTTTGTCCTAGTCTTATTCCACACTATGTAATAACATATTGTGAGGGAACAACTTGCAGAGAGAGTGAAATATTATCCTAGTTGATAGAACAACAATACTATGTTCCTTACCAACTTGTCTATGGATGTGGGCATGACTTCTGCTATGACGTTTGTGCACAAACCCAGAGTCGGGGCTTCCAGAAGGACACTTGGAGCCACCGCTTCCTTAGACTAGAGCCTCGACCGCTCTAGCTATATTCCTACTCTAGCGCCATAGGAAAAATCGTGCGCCAAGATAATCTATCTAAGGGGAAAGATACAAGCCCGCCGTGAACACAGCGCTGTAGCTCCTTCGTATGAAAGCTCCCCAAGACATTCATTTGGAAATATTAGCTGGGCGTGATTGAAAAGCGACGACGCGTGAGCTGAGGAGATTCTTAGGGTTAACAGGGTGTGCGCGTGAGTAAACGAGATGGGAATAACAAACCCCGGTCCCGAATTGCTGGAAGACAACAAGAACGACGCTCTGTTGAGACATCCTCGTAAACAAAGTTATCGAAGATTGGGACACACAGACCCCGATTCTGCTCGTAACGAGGATCACGAAGAGCAAACTAATACAAAGAGGGATGTTATAGTCTAGATCAGTCCGCTCATAGGAGGTTTCTTTAGCTTCCCTGGTGCAGTTCTTGTGAAATACTTGGCTATTTGGCGCTTAATTAGTGTGTAATTGAGGATGATAGTGTACTCAACACCTGCGTAAAAGTAGCAGGTCTTCCTGCAGGATTTTTTTCTTTTTCTTTTCGTGGTCGTGGTCGCCTTCGGAGTGTCCCTGCACCTTCGTGATCGACTCGACTTCATCCTCATTGGACGCGAGGCAATATCTGGAGCTTCTAGTGGTCTGATCTTTGTACGATGCCGAGTGAACGTACGTTTCAGCATCACGCGAATGGCATCCAGTGTCCTGGGCCTCCATCTCCTTGGTTCTCGTGGACCCAATCACTTGGTGCTCGGTAGAGCCGTACATGCAATATCTGGCAGTTGGTAAGCAACTGGCGAAGAAGGCTTAATATGTGAGGGATCGAAAACGCAGTGAACTTTGCCCTGTGAATAACAACTGGAAACGGCTGCGATTGACGCCGAAGCTAACTTGTGTTGCGAAGTTTGGCCAGGCATAGTTGTTGTGACCTATGCAGCTGCGCGAGGTGCGAGAACGAAATTTATCTTGACATTGCTGGTCACCGTCCTTGGCGCGGTGAATGAATACGAGCAATGGATTTCCGGCGGACTAATTGGCAAACGCTCGTCTTTCAGCGAAGAGACACTTAATTTGAGCGCTGTGGAGTTGATCAGACTGATTTGGGTTGGCGGCCTCCTGAGTTCGATTATTGCGCTGATCTTGGGATTGAGTGACATCTTTCTTCCGAATGTATCCGCCACTCCACCTCACCAAGTGCAAATCCCTAAATTTGTGACACGTATGTGCTCCACCGAATGCTGTATACCACCCTCGCCAGTTATCAAGGCCATCATCTTTCCCAACTAGGGAAAACCCTTCCGACTCTTTTCGCAGTGTTCATACCACCATTCCCAACACCAAGAAACTGTTATGGAGTCCGGAGGAGACGGATTTTAGGGTCCTGATGTTTAACCTTGAGCGTGGCTTTTCTGGGAAACGGTAGGAATAATATGGTAGTAGCCATCGGCAGATAGAGACGTAGTTCCAATCAAGGGGACATAAAAAGATCCAGTTGATCCCCAGAATCATCACTTCCTCTCTCCTTCCTTGGATCTTTAAGTTTTAGCGTCTTTCTACGACGTTTATCCGAGTTCAAATGGTAACTATAACCCATCTCCCCTTTCTGTTCCTCATCTGCTCCTGCGCCCTCCCCAGCACACCTCCCAACGCGGCAAACAGTGGCAGCCGCTCAACTTCCTTTCCCCATCCTAAATTTAAGCAACCTGGAATGCTGGTGAAGTATCAGTCTACCCTACCCACTTCTCATGCAACCACACCGAGCGTGCTAAGCTTGAGCGGGCCCTTGGAGAGACCGCCAAGCTGGCTTAAAACGTGAAAGAGCCGTCCCTTAGATGGGAAAACTCGCCGAATATCTAATAGAAATACTTTAATAACGAATCAACTAGAGAACTAATTCATTGGCTCGAGAAAGTCGCGGATGAGAATACAGGCGGAGTGTTGTTTCACTGCGATAACCCAGATAGGAATTATGAGCAAGAGGATAAATGTATGTAAGCGATCCCTATAGCCTCGGGTCAAGCTATTTTCTCTAGGAGGAAGAAATTACCTGGGCTCTGGAGCTCAAATTCGGTAGCATCATGGCTAATCTCTAGTACCTGTGCCGGGCGGAAATTGGCGCAGCATAAACGCGACATTCGAGGCCGTATTCTGCCCACTCTAATACTTAACCCGGCATCCTCTGGACGTAATGTGCGGTAAACACTACACTGTCTCCAACTCTCCCAAAAACTGCTACTTTGCAGACTTCCTACATCGCCTTTATCATGTCCCGAATATCGGTGAAGAAGCTGTGAACAATATGCCGGTAAGTACGACGAGTGCTTAAAGCTTGCTAAGATAAATCAAGAAGAGGCGGTTAGGTATGGGAATAGTTCGTAGTATCTGGGGAGGGATATATGGGATATAGAGGGATGTGGGTTTGACGGTGGGCTGACGAGTACGGTGTAAGAGGTTGTTTCGGTGACGTCTGGGCCCACAAATATATGTGAGGATCTAAGCTCTTGATTAGAAGTCATTCCCATTAACGGTTGTGGGAATACCATATTCACTCTGATGGCGCTGAGCATTGTTCGTGAATGGACACTGCAGTATTGGGGAGAAGGTGAGGGCGCTGGCTTCGACGTTACTTACATCCGAAACTCGAATGCGGCTGGACCCACAAAAGGCCATCAAAGGCATGTAATGCTTTGAGAATATCTTGATCATCACTTACTGAAGTGAAAGCTTAAATGCTAAGTGTAGTTTTATTAGTAGTGACCTTGATGGGAATTTCAAATATCAGGCAGGAGAATGTTCTTACTGATCGTAAGCCGACAGAAGATTGGCACACATACTTGAGCCCTCGTTACCGTCCATGTGACCTAAAAGAAACGCGCCGGTGTTGAGCCCTTCCCCGATCACTTGCTTCCGTCTTGGCATTTTCGAGATGGATGTGGGGCCTTATCCAGTTTTCAACACCCCTCCACTTCAGCAGAACATTGACATTGCGCCTTCAAATCCATTTTATCAAAAAATTGGATCAAGAAAGCAATTACACCGATAATACAACACTCGGTCCGAAGGAAAATAAATGACCAGTGCCTCAACCAGGGGTTCGTGGGGCGGGGTATAGCAGGATTGTGGGAGGACACTGACGCTCTGCATAACCTGGCTTGCGGTCGCGGAGGCGGCTCTGGCGTGGTACCGGGCCGAAGAAAGGTTATTTGTATCCGGCAAGCTTTACTTCCATGTTCAATTAGAGATAGTTAGAAGGCACTCATATTCAATTCTACTCCTGCCCGTAGTTTTTCGGGCCTATATGAGTTTCCAACCCTTCGATCGGGCTAGCAAGACTCGGTTTATGCATTTATCCACACCTACCTCGGTGTTCATTTGTGTTCACTATAACCACTCCGGAATACCTTGGACTCCCATCATGCCCTCCAACAGCACACCCTGATGGAGTAGCATCACCTTGACAAAACTGAGGCCATACCCAATCGCCCTCCATCTTCGCTCAAATCCATCCCGAACCAACCAAATCATAAATCTCAACCGCAATCTCACTCCACATGAACTACAATAGATAAGAACCAAACAGTCGGGCGGGATTCAAATCTCACTTATTACCGACGCTTCTACGCTCGGTCGATGACCAAACATGAGGCTTCTGGAGGCTTTGGCCCTCATCTTCACTCAACACAATCTTGTGTGTCCTTTAAACACGGTCAAACAATCTCCGGGGAAGGAAGCCCCATGCAAGTTAAGTTAGCGAGGTGAGAGCCGAGCTCATGATCTCATGCCAACGCCAGGATAAATTAAGCATAAACACAACTCAATTTCAACGGCTTTCTTCGCAGTTCGTGAAGCACAAATCTCGGTCCTCGTTCGCCAAAATCCCTCAAAAATGCTGGAGTACCAGGACATCCATGGAGATGCAGAAGTATCGGTACGTGCGTCTACAAGGCCGGCATCTATCTACTGGTAATCGTTGGCGAAGAGTTGTATATCCATGGTTGTGCCAAGGCGGGGACATACTCGGCGACTTGGAGGAGCATGAGCCTGGAGAGGGCGGGTTACTTAGTAGATAAGGAAAGGCGTGGAAGTCCTCGCGCACTATTTCCTTGCCGTTCAGCAATCGACTTTATGATGCAATTGTTCTCCGTCATCGCCTTGGCGCTGGTTGCGCCCACAGGCGCTATGCTTCGGTTCTCCTGCTCGCAGCTAGTGATAGACAGGATTGATCCGTAAGTGGGCTAGGTATTTGTTGAATACAACTAACATCGTTGATAGCTTGGTTAATCCTGGCCAGGCTCCATCCCCGCATCTGCATCAGCTTGTTGGAGGCGTCAGAATTCTGTACCATTTGCGTGAGAAACGGGCTTATAAGTTGTAGAACTCCCTGGACATAACCATGAACCCAGACCAAGATCTCCCGACTACCTCAACATGTACTAGCTGTACATTTACGGAAGATTTTTCTAACTACTGGACTGCCGTTCTATATTTTAGAGCTCGAAATGGGACGTACAAGCGCGTTCCAACGTTCGCGAACCAGTATCTGGAGCCCGCTAACGGTGGCATCACCGTATACTACATCCCGCCGTACGACAACAAGTCCAAGGTCACAGCATTCAAAAAGGTAGGTGATAATTTGGGTCGAAATAGTCGTTTGGTGAGACTGATTATTCTAGGGTTTTCGTATGCTTATTGGAGATTCGACCAAGCGGTCCAACAAGAACGATGCTGAGTCGAAGCAGTTGAGTTTCCGGTGTTGGGAGAAGAACTTTGGCGGTGAAGCAGGAGCTCCTGGTACTGGAAAGGATACTAGAGCGCTCCCAGCTAGGCCCTGCCCGGGCGGAATTCGTGCCAATCACTTCTTCCCTACGTAAGAACTAGCTCGTATTAATATAAGATAAGTTGCAGGGACTAACGTTTTTGGTAGTTGCTGGGATGGAAAGAACCTCGACTCTCCAGATCACAAATCGCATGTCGCATATCCTTCAAGTGGATCCTTCGAATCTAATGGGCCATGCCCTTCCACGCACCCTGTCAAGATTCCGCAGCTCTTCTACGAGGTAGCTTGGGATACACGTGCTTTCAATGATCCGAATGATTGGCCAGTGGACGGCTCGCAACCTTTCGTCTTCAGCTTCGGTGACGCGACCGGCTACGGATCTCATGCTGATTATGTGTTTGGTTGGAAGGGAGATGCACTTCAGAAGGCTATGGATGCGTTCTGCAATGTCAATTGCCCACAATTGAAGACGCAGACGACGCAGAATGCTAATAGGTGTACCGTCAAGCCGAAGGTGAATGAAGCAGTTGATGAATGTGAGTTTCTCTACGCTGCTGGTTTGGAGATGTGCTAACTCAGCGAAATCCAGGGCTGACGGAGCTTCCGGGTGGAATGCAGGTTACTTATTGAGTTGGACTGAACTTTGAGAGCGAACCAAGCCAAACAACTATATTTAGAAACCCTAACTGCATGTGTTTTTCCTTGTACGCGACCTCATGGCCTGGTTCTAGAAATTGAAGAAATGAATTCTGTATTTGACTCATTGTGGAGATCAGGATGCGATATTGTTCCATGACCGCGATCATGGAAGGAGAGAAAGAGCAATAACCTATCTCGGCCGTTTACTTAGATCGCTAGCCTCTCAAGGAGACATGCTAGATATTCTCTACTTCTGTGGTATATGGTAGGGGCAAGTATGGACGGAAATTTCTATCATTTTGACGTCGTCCTTAATTCTAGCAAGAGATTTTGACGGCCGAATCTGCGCCCCTCATGCTACACATCAAGTGCAACCTCGGGAACAGGCTATGAGTAGAGAGCCAAAGGATCTTGTCAAGATCGGGGATGTAGTTCAACCACCTGCAACACCAGCTTCCGGGGCTTCAACCTGAAAATCGGCCGAATAATACGCTCATCATTCTACCAGCGAGGCAAATTTCACCAAATGGCCACCTAAATTTCCTTTACAGTCCTATTCTCGGGTTACATTCATCGGAGACATGGCCCGCCGCATATTTCGCCTCCAGGACTGTGTCCAGTATTTTCTCCTCCCCTTGCCCTCTCACCCTCTCACTTGCAGGATCCCCGATTTCTATTGCAATTCCCTGGCCCGAGAGAGCCCCCAGCCACTTCGTGTGTAGTTCTGTGTCGTCCGTTCGCCTTTTTCATTCTTGAATTGCTCGTCACGGTTCTCAAGCGAGGAGGGAAGTCGCTCCAGACCGGTAGGAACATATCCAGATGCGCTACGACCAGGTTCAGGGCTAGCTTACAAGTCATCGAGGAGAGATATGAAGCATACGGTATTGTACCCTTTCAGGGAGCATTATTTATGAGAGAAGAATTTTATTATCGACCGAGAGTCCGAGGAACTATGTGAATTATAGAGTATTTGTTTGCAGTAGCGGAGATTTCTGAGTTCTGGTCACATGATGACGTACTTCCGCCCCTTAGACACTACCTGTTACATTACCTGATTTACCTCCTGCCTAGTCACTTGCTACCTAGCCCACTATTTGCATATATAGACCTTTAAGTATACTCTTTTAGCAATCAATTCAGTTCCTCATCTCCGCGCATATCAAAAGCTTCTCCAAAAGCTTCACAGTATTGTGGGATTCCAAGCTCAAAGTTGATTGGGCAGCTCATCTTAGAACCCTTACTGGCATATAAGAGAAAGTGGAGGGAGAGGTGGATGGAAGAAGGGGAGCAATCTCCACGATGGACAGGTTCCTAGGGTGGGCTTATATATGAATTATCACCCCCGGTGACCCTAACGAGAAAGAGGACGAACGCCAAATTAACGGGGAGCGTTTAAATACAATAATCAGACTGTATTTTCATTTGAAGTCCCTCCTCTTGGAAGGTAATTACATTCGTCATTCTCATTAATGACGGATCTAGACCTTCTGATAAGCCTAGAAGATGCAAGGAAATGCCGCTAGATACCATACTAGTCTGCCTCCAGTCCCATCTATGCGCCTTTTCTCCGCTATAATCTCACGTCAGAGAAAGGATCAACAGGGAACGGCCATGCAGCACTACCTCTACCGATCCCCTTCCATTCCTATCCGCCGTCACCGAGAGCTTCACAGCCGCATGCTTAGCATCATGCATCAGCCGCTCGATGTCGAGAGTCTACTTCCAGCACCGTTTCCGTTATACAGAACCAACCTCGGAGACTTAATGTCCTGGCTATATATTTTTGCAATATGAACGTTCGGATATTTACAGTCGTGATCAACGGACCCATTTTGTCGAAGGGTGTGCCTTTGGAAAGTACCAGCTAAGCCAGTAGAGCCGAACCACAAGAGGAAGGAAAAGAGTACGCCACCCAAGGCAACCCATATGAAGAGAGTCACGAGAATGCCGATCAGCGTGAAGACAAAGTGAAAAGAGCGAGGATCGTGTAGACGAGAAACCGGCGCTATGGAAGAGAAACCTAACATACTTGCTCGTGGCGTTTTGTCGTTCCAAGTCCGCCGAAAGGTGGGAGAGAACACTCTGTCGTACGTGACTGTATTGCACATAACTCTGCATCAAGGGCGAATGTGGGCCCCTGAGTCGCACTAGTAACCAAAGATTTCCCATTCAGGTTAGCGCAGTTTTGTACACTATTTTGTAACCCGGGAGCCCTCTCGAGCACCTCCGACCAGACCAGACCTTATACAACCGCTCAGTCTAGCTAATTGACCCTTCGCAACCCCATGCCCTCTATCCATCCGCTCTAACCGCTCGATACAATCATCCGGTCGAAGTCGGCCTAGCCTTTCCGGTGCCACCTTGTTTTTCAAACCGGTACCAGAAGATTTCATTGCCTTCGTAGATGTAGTCCTGCTGCAAGAGTATTCTCTACTATAGTCAATAGGATTTACACGGGAATATCAAAGGAAAGGATTTATTTATTTACTGTAGTCGCATTGTTGCTTCCGGTAGAAAGGTTCCCCGCCTTGGATTAGAACTTTGTTAGGCCTAGGAATACGGGAATGGCTTGGTGCTCCAGCGGAGAATGGGATGTCTGAACGAAATATATACAATGACATAGCCGTACAACGAATATCGCATTACCCAATTTGGAAATGTAGAGACGGCCCGTGTTGTGGCGATCTTCACCCCGCACGGAAAACGAAGCCCTTCGGCAAGTCAGGCTGGCCCACTATACGGAACATTGCAGTTGCTTAGGAAGCATTACGCTGTCGGATCGTTTAATTCGAGTCCATCCTGTCGCGGCTTAACGGAATTGAAGTTTTCTGTCGTCGAAGATAAACTGAGGCCACTAACGCTGACCTATCCGGAGAGTTGGGAACTCTCATCACTATGGCTTGCTGCTACATTGCTGCGTCTATGATCGCCTTCATCATCCGGGGCTGTGATGCTTTGGATATCAATCTACACATCCAATACAATGAATCGGTCGAGCACGGGTACGATGAAGTCGAGGAAGAATATATCGGCGAGAAGAAGCGAGAGGACGTCGAAGCATCCGATGCTACTGTGGTATCGATATCTGGAATGACCTGTGCTGCCTGCACATCCACCGTCGAATCTGCCCTAAAGGAAGTCACCAACGTTAACGAAGTTTTTGTGTCTCTTCCGTATCAAGAAGCCAGAATTTTTCACAGCACAAAGTTGAACTACAAAGAGGTAGTTTCTGCGATTGTGGCCGTCGGTTACGACGCAGAAATCGGGGAACGAGCGAGTGCACGGAAGATCGCCACCTTGAGATGCACCGAAGAACTCGAAACACTACGGAATTCCGTAAAAGGGCTATCCTTCTTCTCCGCGGCCATCTTTGCATCTGGAACCTTCCTCGATTACTCTAGATACGCTTCCCTACTCCAGTCGCCGACTGTCCAATTTAGCAGAGATGTCATGTTGTTCGCTCTCACAACGATTGCGGCGGGCAGATACGGAATATGGATCTTCAAGAATTCCGGGAACGCTGCGCTTCACCTGCGCGTAAATATGCATACTTTGATCAGTGCATCGACTGTGGTCGGGCTTTCTCTAACACTACTAAATATGTTCCACAAAAATCCAAGGCCGGATGCTTTGTACTTTGACACAATCCTAGGAGTTCTTCTCATCATTACAGTGGGAAGGTACATGGATTTACTATCTCGCCGCAGAGCGACCGATGCATTCGCCGGCTTATATTCGCTTCGAGACCAGACATCGACGGTGATGCTAGCCAAGCTAAATGTGGTTATATCCCTTCTTCCCCTAAAGTTTCCTCCGACTGCCGCTAACTCTCTCCTTAGAAACGTGTACTGACTTCAATGGTCCGCTCCGGTGACGAAATACTAATTGAAGCATTCAACATCGTGCCCTGCGATTGTTATGTCGTTTCGGGAACCTCGCATGTAAATGAGGCTGTCATAACCGGCGAATCGCTACCCAAGACGAAGTCCGAAGGGGACTTACTCCTCGCTGGGTCAAGAAATGGACCGAATCAGCTCCACGCACGGATCAATCAGGACTTCGAAAGATCGTACCTCTCACAGCTTATTCGAAGTGTGGAGAATTCATTTAGCTCCAAGGTATCGGTCCAGTATCGCATCGATATAATTACACAATACTTCGTTGGCGCCATTTTTGCTATCGCTATTCCCACGGCAGTCTACACATATGTCACACAATGCGACCGAGGGTCAGATTGTACAGATGTGATAGATACAGCTGGGAGAAAGTTGATGACGATTCTCGCTGCAGCTTGTCCTTGTGCTTTGGGGCTGGCCACTCCATGCGCAGTCATGGCAGGAATTGGCGAGTGGACTCTCGTCTACACTGGCTAAAAGCTAATATCCTTTAGATGTTTCGTGGCAAAAAGGTATCCTCATGCTCAACGGCGGCGAAACCATGGAGCGCCTAAAGAGTATCACCCACATTGTCATGGACAAAACCGGCACTTTGACCCGAGGAACCATGACTGTTGGCGGTATAGTTGTCAACGGTCTCTGGAAAGATGAGGGAGATAAACTTGCCACCCTAATCTGTGCCGCCGAAGAGCACGGCATGGCTGCTCACCCTCTCGCCGTGGCCATTTTCCGAAAGTTTTTGCCCATATCTGGGGACATGTGGAAGAAGCTCAAGGACACCGGTGCCGCACGAAATTTTGCTCAAAGCGGAGGGCGAGGTGTGAGGTGTGAAGTTAACACTGGAGATGGGTTGTGGAGGAACGTTGTCCTTGGTAATATTTCATGGATGAAGGAAAATAATATTAGAGGGATTGAGTCTCTCTCAATAGATGTCGAAAAAGAAGGTTCCGCGGCCTTCGTAGGTGTTGATGGAGATATTGCGGCATCCATGATCCTACAGGGAAGTTACCCCTTGTGTTTCATTGACATCCATTACGCACTAATTTTTGAGCAGGACGTTATTAGGCCAGATGCAAAAGTCACAATCGACGCGCTAAAAACTCATGGAGTTGAAATCAGCATAGTATGCATACACACCTCTGTGCTTGCAATCTTCCCTCCTGCTAATATGATTCCAGCTAACAGGCGATCAGCCTGCTGAAGCTTGGCGTATTTCAAGAGAACTGGGCATTCCGGTGTTGGATTTTGCCGCGACCCCTGATGTCAAGCTGAAGCACATCAAGTCCATCCAGGCCAGAGGTGGAAAGGTCCTCATGGCAGGCTACAAAGTTTCGGGACACCAGCAATACAGCATCTGACATATCACAGGTCGGTGATGGAATGAACGACGGACCTAGTCTCGCAGCCGCCGACGTTGGTGTTATGATAGTAAATGGGCGGAAATGCCTAACCTCTGGTGGCAGCGTGCTACTTCTTCGACCCCAGCTCCAGTCACTCATCACATTGCTAGAAATCTCGAGAACGGTCATGCGACAAGTCTCCACGAATATCGCTTGGGTTATTACTTACAACGTTGTTGCGGTGGCGTTGGCGATGGGTCTTGGAAAGCCGTTGCATGTTGAGATCTCTCCGTAAGTGGCCACGGAGCCGAAGACTGAGACGTATGCTCATCAATATGTTAGGCCAATTGCGGCTGCAATGATGTCTGTGTCGTCTTCATTCATCACGGTTCAGGGTCTTTTGTTGCGCAGCCGGCTAGCGAAAGAGAAGGAGCCTGATGACTGATGGTACTATTGATGTGTAGTTGAAACGATGTCACATCCTACACGGACTCAAACCAGACACCAAATTAAGTCCGCTAAGCTCGGTGCTTTTATGAGAAGGACCGAAGATCCAGACCTCACCATGAAGAATCTTCTCTTCTACTACAGCGGATGTATGCACAATCTATTCAGGTGGGTTCCAAGATGGTCAAACGAGAGAGAGGGACACGCGTACAGGTTCCGTGTACCCCCTCCCCCCCCCCCCCCCCAAGATTCTGCGCCCTTAACGCGAAACAGCGGCTCCGGCAGGAATCTAGGGTAACATGTCTGTGGATTTGATTTGAGCCACGGGTAATTGGTGCTTTCCAGATCGAGTCACATACTCTGAGCTACCTTAATAGTTAGATATGGGGCCCTAGCACCTGAATTGTCTCCACCACCCAATTTTTTACCCACGCGATCCAATCTTCTAAGGGTCATCACGCAGAATCACTGTAGTACGTGGATTCGACCCAGATAAGGTCCTTCAATCAATTCATCAATAGCCAAGTCATCACTGGAATTAGAAATGGTATCAACATAGCTTCCATACCTGTTCCCTAGGCCGAATTCTCTACTCTAGCTTATCTTGTATTTAGAACGTCATCTCCCTGGATGCCGATCTAGAGAAAGCAGCGGAATTGCTAGCATGAGGCATCAACATGAGCTGTGGTCGAACCTGCTACACTGGAGCTCGCATTTACGTTCCCGAAGATATGTACGACTAGTTTGTTGCAGCCTTCACTAATTGAATAGGCAGCCTTCAAGTCGGCGACAAGTCCGGTCGGAACGTTGATCAAGGTCCGCAGAATAGCAAGATGCGGTATAACATCGAATCTGGAAAAGAAGACGGTGCAACGGTACGCTTGAGTAGAAAGGCTTCAAAAACTGGGAATGATTCAGCATACTACATCGAACCCAACATATTCACGAACAAGAGGCCTGGGCTAAAGACAAGTCCACAAATTTTACGCTCCGGGAATCTTGGGCCCATAATGCAGGATTTAAAGAGTCGATTCTCCGCCCTACGCTCCAAAGATGGCATCGCAAATGCTTGAGTACTAGCTGAAGGCAAAGCAAACTAGTCGCAGAGGCTTTCGTGGCGATAAAGTCTATGTCACAGAGATGCTCGAGGATGAGGACGAATGGTATCTAGCCTTGGCGATTAATTATGAGAAGTACAGTCATCACTGTTTCCAAATCCGGAGGCGTGTGTATCGAAACCGTTGCGAAAGCCACACCCAAGAAGCTGATGACTTCCTCCTCGTCCTCACCCACGGTATCGCTTTAAACGCCGTGCCCAACATTGGAGTGTCATTGCATACGAGCGAAAAGGAGGCAAGGAATCTACAAGGCATTGTTCGTTGAAAGGGACTCAACGTTCCTGGAAACCAGCCCCCTGTTCTGCTCTGCCCATGGAACATTTACCTGTTTAGATGCAAAATACAGTTTTGATAATGCTGCCGAGAAGCGTCAGAGAGATCTGTTTGCTTTCCGCAATGTACAATTGAAACTGCCTGACGAATTGAAGACCGAAAAAGAAAGCTCCGCGTTCATCCGTCTTGGTGGGAACCATGGAACTGGCCTTGCGATGGCTACGAATGATGCGATTGTGTTCGATCGGGAGAACAAGCGGCGAGGGAAAAGATACAGAAGGCGTTTGAGATTTTTATGGGAGATGAGAGGAGGGCGTGTATTATTTGTAAACATTTAACGGGGGTGCAATTCCCTCAAGATAGATATCTAGAGAGGGGAAACTAGCATTTATACGAGGCATCATTCGGTGCGAAGTGGCCGCGCAATCCATCATGTGTGCCCTGGATTAGCTCAGTTCTTTGACGGTACCCGTCGTCGTGCGATTCCAAGGCGCAAATTCCGCACTTGGGCGGAAATTAATTCCACAAGTCAAATTTAACATGACATACATAGTCTAACTTTAGTAAGGCAGCACAGAAAGCCGTGGAGTTAGTAAACCCCACCATGAAAGCGTATCAAATGAATATGGATCAGAGTCCGGAAGTCGCGAATGCTGGCTTTTAGTGTTGTATCCCAATCTGTGTACCAGTTTGAATGTGATAGAACCCACAAACGTGGTGAGCGGGATATCGAGGTTGCGGATGTTATTAAGTTAATACCTCTACTCGACAATACTTCCCTTTAAAGCTACCTTCCCATAGAAATCCCAAATCTCCGCTTTCCACCCCTCGCACTCCCTTCCCGGCATATGCTCCTTAGCCGCTTCTTTTTCCAACAGAATTCGGTACTGCTCTCCCACATAGAGCGGACTCATCGCCCTATACGCAACACGTTTCGGTACTGCACCCTCTGCGGCACCTCTTGATGTATCCCGCCAAAGGTCAAGCATGTTGATCAGGTTCAAGGGGCCGTGAACCACGCAGTCACGATGTCCTTCGACCTCACGACACCAGTCGCGCGAGTAATGGATTTTGTGGCCGTTAAAAGTCAATGCCGAGAATCGAAAGAGGGAGACTTCGGTTTGGAGAAAGTCACGCGTGAAGTTTCCTGCACCCGGTCCGTTAATTGAAGCCTAGTAATGTGTAGTGCCTTACCTTCGGGTAGGGCCTTTGGTTCCGGCTTCGACTGTTGCTTTGTCTTATCTATGATTTCTTTCTGGAAGACCCAGTTCCTACGATCTACTAGTACTACGCCCTTTTCCGTTTTGTACGCCTTCTCCACACCCACCACGAGCATCTCGTCGCCACTCTTCAATTTCTTCGGTTCCACTGACCTCATTCTCGTGATTTCCTGCACTACTTGGCCGACTCTAAGTAACTCATCTTGTCCCTGTTTCCACTCCAATTCTCCACCAGCCCACATCCTCCTCGTAAATGGCGAGAGTGGATTAACCGTTCGATCAGTTCCATCCCGGCCCAAGTCATTTTCTAGTATAGTTGGAGTGAAGTAAACTAAATGGTAACCGGGAGGAATCGGAGTTCCAGTTCGAGGCGCAGTGTTGGTAACGGAGATTCCCCGATGGAGGTTTGGGCGGCCGAGTGTCAGGCTGAGAAGTTGAACCTGGTTAGCATCAATTAGCTGCTCTCGAACGGATATCGGCTTATCCCCAAATCGTTGGAAAATTTCGTTACAGGCTTCAGATGCTGAGGCTAAGTATGGGGTGGCTAAAACTCTTTTTGACACAAGAGACATGATGAATTAGTTTACGAGTCTAGCATTGTATATTGCAACATCCGAGTTGGTGTTGAGAATTATGCAAGCTCTCAATTCTCGACGCCGAAATTCGTCACGTGCAAATGCGGTACCTGATGCGGGGAAGACATAACCGAGATAACCGAGGCTTGGGGTAACAATCAAGACTGCACATAACCTAGGCCAACAATGTGCCTGACATCATCGTTTCTGACATAATCTGGAACGACCCGGAAAAGCCAGAACCGGCCGCCACACTCGAGTTTCAGTATGTAATCAGTCATAAGATCCCTTGCAAACATGCAAAAAGGTAGCAACGGTGTGCGGCCCTTGGACACCCTGAAATGTAGACTCCCTCGAGTATTCCCACATCCATCACCACGAAATTGTAAAGCAAGAAGTTCGGAATGTCAAGAACGCTGCTTCTACCTAACGGCAGATGAGGGGGAAAGATCAATTTGAAGATATGGAAACAGTGGCGCTGGTGGTGACGGAACTGAAGGTGGACTTTGAGATCATACCTGTGATTCTGCATGAAGTGAGACTCGACGGGGTGCTCGTAGAGATGAGTTACGCGACCTTCGTATATCAAATTTGAAGCCTGGCATCTATCAAGCAGAAATGTAGTAGCTGATTTCTAATGGATAGGCTACACGCCAGGGTTGCCACTTTTATAGTAATTACTATTTTTTAAAAAACGTTATTATTACTTAATTACATAAGCTATAATTCTAAAAATTAATATATAGATGCTAAGTAAACTAGTCTATAAATCTATAAATTTAAATTCTAAAAATTATATTTAATACATTTATTGTCGGTTGACCTGGGTTCGATCGAACAAACGTACGCCTAAGGGGCGTACTAAGAGGTAAGTAGGCAAAGATCTTCTTATTATTAACTACTGCCCTCTCTCTTTGTACAAAGAAAGAGGGCTCTTAAGTACACATAGCCCCTAACGCATAGGCTAGATAGCTAACGTTTTAGGCAACCTAATTTAGCTGTACTTATGTATAGACACTAGTAACTTTTTATTTTTATAAATTAAGTTGCTTACTTGCCTTACTTTATTTTTTATTTTTCTTTATACTATCCTCTGCATCCTTTCCTCTTCTTCTTTGTACAGGGCCTATAGTGTACTGCTAGTTTGCAACACCTGCTAGCTTTTTAGCCTGCGTACAGCATCTCTTTCCTACAGAATAGATCCTGTGCTTAGCTAGAGCATAGAGAAGCTCTTGCCTAAACATATAAAATAAGTTGTTAAAATCCTGTTATGTCTAGCCTTTAAAGTCTTCTATAAAGTTAGACAGACTGTACTTTTCTGTACGCATAAAGACAAAGGTATCTACTATATATAAGGTTTATTATACTTAGGAGGGATTTATTAACATGTTAAGGCAGTCTACTAAGAAGGTAAAGTTAACCTCCTTTTATAGTATTATTCTAGACACGTAGGTTATCT